TCAGCCAGAGACATGGTGCTCTATACACCTAGCGCAACGTATTTCGTAATTTCTTCTTCAATTGCCTCTCCAACGCAGTCCTCCAACGCCTGTCGCGTGCCCCTCATCAGGAAATTTTGGTTTCTCGCCGAACTGGCCCACTGAAACTAAGTTGGACGTGCGCAGTGCGTGCAGCGATGAGGCAACACGGGGCTAATACACGGTAACGGCTTCAGCCTATTGGTTGACAGTAAGACGCAGGCCCCGAGTTTGCACATGCTGCGACGAACAGCACGACGCAGAGAGTAGATTACCGCTGAGCTTGTTCTCCTTACATCGTCATCTTTAATATCCGCCCTAGTAAACCCATCAAGACGAAATTTGCGCCTACGCGACCCCGACCTCGCGATGTGATCGTGATCTGCCAAAACTGGAGCACGCTTGACGTCGCCCGGCATTGTGCCCCTCCAGATGCACCCATATCGATACGCACTGGGCTGGTATTGACGTTGGCGCCCGCTGGCAAAGAAGCGGTGAAGAGGTGCAAACGTAGCCGGCGCCTCAAACAGTAAAGGTACAGCAGCTTGCGGGCCGCTCCTGCTTGTCACAATGCAGGTGTCTGTCCCTGAGACACTCGTCTGTGTATCACACACGTGAATTAATTACCTTGCTCTGATCTTCCACTTCCGTGCAATGACTATGGAACATTCTCCGCTGAACCGCTTTGTTTGTTTTGGACACCTTGCGTCAACTTTTGCGTCAACTTTTTTTTTTTGAGGCTGAGCTTTACCTTGCTTGGGATGCATTGGTGGGCCGATCCACTGCGTTCCGGTTGGGTCGAGTTTCTTTAAGCCTAGGACCAGGATTCAATACCCAGATCTTCGACAAGTCACATGTGCATATGCTTTTCATTGGCTATAGGTCGTCCGCGCATGTACCTGAAGAGCAAATATGTTTTCGAGGCATCCACGTATATCCGAACTTTGTAGGCGTCAAAAGCTACGCCGCGTAATTGCGTACTACAATAATCAGAATAATAAATTACACAACACATCGAACTTCACATGCACTGTTGAGTACACCCAAGTTCTACTGTGAGCCCATGCCCGAATGCAGAAGACATGTAAAGAAGAGACTTCCACCGCCTCCACACCTCCTCCCCGCTGCCTCCCCCACCCACCCTAGACTTTCTTTCTCGAGCTTACTGCAAGATCTTCAACATGTCATATGTGCATATGCTTCTATTGGCTGTCGGAAGCTCCTCATTGGCCGGTGAACACTACACACGGAGTACATACATGCAAAGCAGGTTTTTCATTGGTCTAACCACCCAAGTATACCCCAGACGCTATTGCAGCTGCACACCATCTAGCGATTTTCGTAGCTTCAGAATGGCCCGTTATCAAAAGACAACATTTCCTTTTGTTGGGTTGTTCGCTGCAACGTTGTCGGTCAAACCAGCAGAAGCCTAAAGGTCGGTTTGGCCGAGCCGCCGTTGACATGGCTCTGCTTGGTACAAGGTGGAGTACCGGTGGAGCCTAGAAGCGACGAACACACTCAGGGTTTCTGGACGGAAAATCTGGATCACGCGCACCATATCTTCACTTTCTTCAATGGGGTAACTCGACAGGGGGTCCCCATACTTTTAGGTGTCATCATCTTCGGGCCCATTCTTCTTCGAGGTAGCATTACGCAAATGTATGTATGTACAAGAGTCCGGTAGGCTATATGCAAGTGGCCGAAACAGCGGACTTCAAACGTTTAGCTGCTCTCTGTCCCTGAAAGGACAAATGAGCCGGTTACGGTGCAGTTGCGATTGGTCAATACGGCAGTAAGCAGCTCATGTATTCTCTCCCAGTGTCGGCTCGGCGCCTTCGATGCTGAAGATGTCTCTAGGCGAGGCAAGAGCCTCAAGCTTGGCAAGCGGCGCGAGGTTGCCTAGACCACGAATGATATCTTCGTGATTGAAGCCCAGATTGTAGAGCATCCGCGCAGCCCACCTGAGCGTATCGCGCAATTCTGCACGCGTGGCCTCTGTTAAACCCTTGCCACGTCTTTCTTCGAGCTCCACCTCGTTTTGGACCTTCCGAATGATGGCCCAGATCGTCTGTCGGTTAGGGTGGATTCGCCCCTGTAGGATGAGCGTGGCGCCACCATTCTGGACAATCTCAATGTCTTCTGGTCGATCTTCGTATTCTTTGCTCTTGGTGACGCGATACTGTGGCATTGTGGGTAGTCCACCAGGCGCTCTGTAGGGCGCAAAATTCTTGCGTAACTGGTGACACCATATCTCGACGATCTCTTTGCCCTTGGCACTGCCGTATCCGTCGAGCACACCGCTTAGTACGCGATTGAAGTCATCTGTGGAAAGATTGACCGCTTGACGGGATGAGAATGAAAGGAAGCGGGCGCAGTAATCTTTCCACTCATCATCTACAGTTGACAGTATGGACAGTGTGCAGTACAATTCCTCGCGGATGTTGCTGAGTATCATCTGCTCCCATGCAAAGAGCAGTCCAGTGAAGCAGTCCTGAGCACGTATCTTTGCTTCGTGGGGACCATTCGAAGTTCGAAGAAGTTCTGCAGCAAAGCTTGAGATGATGATAGGTCGCGGCCTGAAGGTAGATGCTTCTTCCACATACTTTTGCATGCCTCTGATGGTATCCCAGTTCTGAAGCTTGATCTGAGAACACAGCAAGGCTATCAAGATTTCAGCCGGCATACGTTGCTGCTGGTGCTTCTCGTTCCATATCCCAGCCCTTTTGATGACATCCAAGACGAGTTCGTTCTCCCCAGCCATTGTGCCAAAGCGAACGACGGACGCGGACATGTTGCGATGACTGTGCAACTCGCGGCCGATAAGGGGACCGTCCAGGTCATCGGAGAACAGCAGCCAACGGCCCACATCATATGTTTTCGACTCGGTAATCAAATCTAGCAACCGCGCGAGGAGAGGTACAGGGATCTTGTTATCGAAAGCTGGGAAGTCAACCGGTGGAAGATGGCTTGTGAATGGCTCGTCTTGTCGTAGCTGCGGACTATTTCGAAGGATTTCGAAGAACTCTTGTACAGACTTTTGTTTGTTGTCATCAGTATGTTGTTGAAGCATGGATAATGTCGTCAATGCTCCCTGGATATCACCGTTATTGATGAAAGCACGCATGGCCCGATGCAACATGCTGAGTGGAATAGTGGTTGGTTCATAAAAGTAGGGTACTTCGGTACTTGAAGAAGCAGACGCGTTGACAGCGCCTACCTCAGTGCCAAACCCTGGAGCCAGCTCAAAGATGCGCAAGAGCAGCTCTGGTCGCTTTTCTGGTACGAAGCCGCCGGACTCGATAAGCCGGGCCATGATAGAATCCCAAGCTGAGGAACCGAGACTGAGGTTGTTCCTATCTAAGAAGTCCTTCAAGGTCTTGATAGAAGCTACTAGGCTCTCTGGTGTAGCGCCACGAGCTCCAACTCCCAGTCGCATATGGTTGACAAGCCCATCGACAAAAGCCGTAACGACTTCGCTGCTTATAGTTCTTCGGGTTCGGGCGCGGTCTTCTGCACGTGGCAAAGCATTCCCGCTCATGGGAAGCAAGGTCCACGGACTTGGTGGTGCTGGTGTTTTCTGTTGCTCTGCTTCCATGATCTCCCTCCAGCTGATAAGCGCCCAGCTGTGGTTCCCTTCCTTGGCTGCCATTTTCTCCAGGATGTAAGCACCATCGAGTGTCCAACCACCATGTAAACATGACCACAAACAAAGCTCTAGCCACAGCTCCGGAGCCACCTCTGTGACCTGAACCTTGTAACGGGACCCAGGTATCTCATGACCGAGGAAGTAGTGAGCATTTGCCCGATCCTTGGCAGTCTTGACGGAAGCTTCGTGAGCATTCCAGGTGGCGTCAGACAGGGCTGTCAAGATCTTGGTCGAAAGCATGTGAAGGGTCGGAGGTTGTTGGAGTGCATGCTTGTCCAGAGGATTTCGATATGTGTAGACTGAGTCAGGCATGAAACCCAGATGGTGCAGGTAGGCAATCATCTCCAAGACATGCGGCATGACAGTCTCCTGCCCGCCACGGTCTTGCTCCGCAGCTGTCAATATCATGTGGCCCAGGCTCCTCCACAGCTGTCCAAGGGCTCGCTTAACAGGAACATGCGGATATCGGATCGACTCTGGAGCGGAGGTTACAACGTCTAGGGTACGCTGCAGCTTGCGATTCGGAAAGGTTCGTTGAAGGCGCATAGGACTTTCAGTCAGCTCTTTCATAGACCGGTGCTCTTCTCCTTTCAATACAGCGTTTGCATACTGCTCGAGATGTTCAGTGAGGTCGTTCGAGCGTTTCCCGTCCTCCGTGAGCTTCCTGACCATCCAGATGACCGTTGGCCATTTCCCCGCCTCCAAACCAAGGTAGCTTAAAATGTCCACAGAGGCATCCTGGGCCTTGTTGATGAAAAGGGCGAGGTCGAGTGACGTTATCGGCTTCTCCGAGTTCTGATCGGTCTCCTGTCGCAAGTGGTTCGGAAGGAATGGCTCAATGGCAGCAAGCCATGTGTTGACATCATCACGGACTTCTCGAGGTGGATAGGGTATGCATGAGTGAATGCGTTCCTTGGGCTTGGGCGGATATACTGGGATAATCACATCTTCTCCATCTTGTGTCGAAAGCTGGGTTCGTGACTGAGCGTCTGCGGGGCGGCGTTTCCCAGATGTGAAGGTGCGCTTGGAGCGTCTACCGAGGGCGGGAACGAGGAAGGCGGCAACGGAACAGGGAGCAGCGATTCCGCGAGGGTTCGGACGGAAAGCCTGTGAGAGGGCGCTGCGAAAGCATGTATGCGCAGCGCTCATTGAGGGGTGGCGGGTGAAGGGTGAGGGTGAGTGCTCGTGCCAGCGGCATGTCTTGACTTTTTCTGACTGGGATCATGACGAACTGCACTCTCCAGATCCGAGACACGCTAAAGTGACTGACAGGGATCAGCGCCCGAGCTCCAGGCTGCCTGCCGCTAGTGCCTTCCAGTGACCTCACGCGTCGACCCGCGCAAACATTTCGCGACATTTCCAGCAGTTGGACCAAGACTGAACAAATTCACCGTTGCAGTCTAAGACATTCGCATACATAAAAGATCACTTCCGCACGTCTTCGCAAGATACATTGCAACTCACCCTCTGCCAGCCACACCATACGCTAACATAACGCGACTATGGGTGTCTATCGCGTCGGTAAGTGCCTGGATGACCCCAAGTACTACACAGCCAATCATCTACCTATCTCATGAAAGATATACTGTTTTACGCCAATCAGGACTAGACTAAGCATATGTCAGAGGCCTCCCCTAACAACCGCGCTGGTTGTCAAGTCAAGGAATGCAAAGACGCCGGCTCAAAGATCACAAAGGGCCAGTTCCGCTTTGCGGTTCAGGTCACCATCCATGAGCATGTCAGCTGGCAATACCGCCATTGGTAAGATCTGCCATGATCTTTTGGCCAGTACACTTACTAATGTGTCTAGGGGATGCGTTACTCCCAAGCAGATCGAGAATCTGATCGAGGTGTCCGGAGGTGACACTGACATGGTCGACGGCTACGACGAGTTGCCTGCAGAGTTTCAGGAGAAAGTCAAATTCGCGCTGGAGAACGGCCATATTCCAGATGAAGACTGCACGCATGTAAGTATTTTCACACCATCTCAACTAAGTACTCAGACATTGCTTTACTGACATCATCAGGCTGATGATGTTGAATATAACCGACCAGGTGCTAAGAAGCCTCGAGCGAAGAAAGCCAAGAAGACTGACGAGGAGGACGGCAATGACGCGGACGAGAAACCTAAGAAGAAGCCCGCAGCCAAGGCCAAGAAGAACGCCGTCAAAGACGAAGACGAGGAGGACGCGCCTGCACCAGCCCTGAAGAAGCGCGGACCCAAAGCCAAGAAGGTCAAAAATGAAGAGGAGGAGGATGTGCCAGCTCCCGCCCCGAAGAAGCGTGGTCGGCCAGCCAAGAAGGAGGTCGCTGATGAAGAAGACGGCGTCGAGGAAGAGGCAGCTCCTCCGGCTAAGAAGGCTCGGGCCAGCGGCAGGACCAAGAACGCCCCCAAGTACAACGACAGCGAAGAGGAAGCCCCCGCTCCCAAGAAGGCCCGCGGCAAGAAGGTCGCGCCCAAGCAAGAGCCGGTAGACGAAGACGAGGAGATGACTGAGGATGCTCCGGCACCCAAGAAGGCCCGAGGCAAGAAGGTCGCAGCCGCCAAGGTGGAGCCTGAGGCCAACAGTGACGTTGACGAGGAAGCTCCTGAGCCTAAGAAGGTTCCCCAGAAAAGGTGCGTCTGATCCAACGAGCCAACAACATGCCCATTACTAACGGTACATAGGGGCCGCAAGAAGGCTGTCGCAACTGACGAGTAAGCTCGCCTTACACACGAAGAGCAGCATGCTTTACCGAACAATCTAGCCAGTTCGATTCGAGGCGTTAGCGGGGTGTCATGGGGGAGTGTATTGTTGAAACAGTAAAGATACCCAGGAGAGCGTCGTGTTTATGAGGAAAGAAAAGTTCTATTTTGCGGAATCAGGATAAGTACAATCCCAGTGTTGTCTGCGCATGTCAGCAAGCCGTTTTCTTTTATGTCGGCATCATAATCGCTGGCTTTTGTTTCCTTACACTATCGGTATCTGTTTCTTTGTATGTCTATACTGAAATGAGGTCCGTACATGGCCTGCTACTATCCAGTTTTCGTCTCGTTCGTGTGTGTATGTATCGTACAGTGTGTTTTCCCTTCCACATATGTTCCATTCCATTACCACATCGCTCCTTCCTTCAATACTTTCCATGGCAGTGTAGTCGATGAACTCCATCAGCTGACTTCACTTCATCCCCTCAGCCTCTCCATCTCCTCATCCTTCATCCTCGCCCAATTTACCATCACTCTCCCATCCTCACACTCAATCGTCGGAAACAAATCCTTGAATCCAGCACCATTTCTAGCACGCTCCGTGATGTATGTATGCACTACATCCTGACCGTTGCATGACTCTGAATGGATCGGACAACGGGCGGTGAATACCGCGTTCCCGGTATTGACGCCAACATCGGCATCGACGCTGGTATTGTTGCCTTCCTTCTGCTCGTCGGGTGAGGGGAACGAGAAGACAGGTCGAGGTGTTGATGATGGGTTCGCGGCGTTGTAAGCTTCGTTTAGGGCTTTTGAAGCGGCGCGTGGTCGACCGGTGTTTATAGGTTTCTTCTCGGCCTGTACAATGTAGCTGGGAGACGGAACGGGGTCCATGAACGCGGGGAAAGAGGATGTTTCTGGCTGACGGGCCGATGGAAAGCTGAATGCGGGTGTGATGTCGCGCTGCTGACCTGAGCCTCCGCGTAGACCGGCAGGTGCCTGACCGATGGGAGTCTGCGCCCTCGATGACGAAGTATCGCGCTGAACAGTGCTCGCAGGATACCCACCATCATCCTGTCTAGCCGGAGCATTCAACTCATACCCCGTATCACCCGTCTCGTAATCCCTCTGCGCCAACCCCCTTAAATACACCGCACTCTCCTGGGACCGATAGTCCGGTGCACGGAACGGACTATTCTCCCTAGTCTGAGCCCTCGACTTACGAATCACGTCTGGATGACCCAGACCGTGGAGATACAAACCACTCTCACCACCATCATCGGGTGAAGTATCTCGTGGACTGCAGCTACGAAACCTGCTCCGCGTGTGCGAGCGTGACGAAAGTCGGGATGGCGATGGAGTTGGACGGCGTGAAACAGTTTCTACGAAAGCGGAAATGTCTTCGGGATGCATCCAGCCCTGTGAGACGGAGAGGTTGGCTCCCATATCTTCTTCCTGCCATTGGGGAGGGTGGTGAGATGCACTTCCAGTTCCACCTCCTGCAAAATCTGCGAGGGGGCTCAGTGATCGCCGGATCCCTTCTGCGGCCAGAAGTTGATTCAGACGCGAGGTGCTCGCTATGGATCGGAGCGAGGCATGGTTCTGTCCGCTGCGGACGCTCAGACCGTGGCGGTGGGTTGGCGATACAGGGCGTGAGATAAAGGGTGTGTTGTCTACGGAGGCGTTGCGGGAACCTGGAGCGGAGTAGGCGAGGTAGTGGCCGCGGTCGTGCGGTGTGTAGCTTGTTACCGGGAAGAAGGTCTGCGGAGTGTAGTTGGTGGTGGGAGGAGCTTCGACGGCGCCGATGCGTGGGACGTTGGTTGAGGAGGATGAAGTGCGGTGAGGCGGTACTGGTCGAGGGCGAGAGGTGGGACGTGAGCCGATGTTCGAAGATACTTGTGAGGGTACTAGCAGTGTCGTGAATGACGGGACACGTGAAGGAGCCTGACTGGGTAACGGGTCCTGCGCGCTTGCCTCGGGTGTTGAAGCGGCATCAATCTCCTTTGCATTGCCTGCCACAGCCTCAGTCTCGGCCGTGCTATCCTTCTTCTTCTTTCCAGATTTCTCCTCTTCTAGCGCTTCGTTCGTTTCTTGCTTCTTGCTCTTCTCTTGTTCCTGCTGCCATTCCCACTCGTGAATGCATGACCTCTGTAAAGCAGCAACAGTGTTTTCAGACACAAGATCTGAGTTTTGGGATTCGTAGAACGGAGCTTGATCTTGAACCACTCCGACGATGTTGATGCCCTTTTTGGTCGAGAAGGGCACTGGCTCAATTGGGTTACCGGCCGGATAGGCATAAATGAAGTGGCCTCGGTAGTGGTACGCGACACCTGTTTCGAGCGTGTGGTCACCCTTTAGACCGGAGATGAAGACGCGCTGTTTGGTGGCTCTAATTCGGGCTGCACGCTCTATGATACTATCAGTATAGAGATCTTATGTTGCATGCGGGTCTTCCCAAGCTTAGTGTCTACTTCAGGAAGTAGCGATCGCTACACCGCACTCGTTCGACTCAACTTACCATTCGCGATAGTCTTTGCACATCCTCTGCCCACCATCTTTGCGCCTGCTAGAAGGAGAAGTAGTATGCGTTGGCGGTGGGGTGGTACGTGATGTCACAACAGCGTCGCGACAATCGCAGATGTAGACTGAGAAAGCAGCGATCACACCAAGTCACGGAAGCAGCGCAGGTATGTCGCAAAGTTATTCCTTTATGATCATCAGGTGGTTTGGTGGTGATCGCAAGTGACTTTCGATCCACATATCCAACAGCAAACGGCAGCTGAGCTAAGACCATGCGGGAAGACCCCGTGTGCGAAGTGGTGAAAATGAAAGTGAGCATCTCGAATGAACTGGTACTGGTATATTGAGGCACAGCTTTCTTGCAGTACAGCAATAGTAAGGATAGTTGCGCGCAAGAGTCGACACCGCCCGTGCGTGTCATGTATCAAAACAGGCAACCGTAGAAGTTGACTTGAGAGACTGGTGAACAATGAACGACATGCACGAAAGTATGCTTCCAAAAGGCTCCTAATGTGCGACTTTAGCGAAAGACATGAGTTTGCCAACATAGTATCACGTGGATATGTCAGGGACGGAGACTGAGCACAGCACATCTTTTATGAAGCAAAACAAGAAGCGATAGTGACACAAACTTGAAATTAAGAAGATGTTTAACTAAATGGGATATCAGGTTGATCAAAACACGCGATTAATTCCACCTCTTTCTTTACAGGTTGTCACACTCTATCGGGTGGCAGAAGTACCGTCAGAGCCGTCAGCAGCGGCACCAAGACCCTCCTCGTCACCGGGCTCGGTGTAAGTACCAGCCGACTTGGCAGCACCACGTGTGCGCTCGTCGAGAATATTGCTCTCATCGATGGCGTCCTTCTCATCGCGCTCTGCGTTGTATTAGGACCGTGTCATAGAAATCAGTACTTGTTGAGATACATACCCAACTGTGCGTCAGAGTCACCACCGTTGGTGTACTCGGTCGCCTCAACAGGTGCCTCATCGTTCTGGACGGGAATCTCGGTCTGGCCGGTACGGGACTTGTAGTCGTTGTCCATGGCGTTGCCGTTGGGGATCTCGTTGGAGCTCATGATGGTGGTGTTGATGTGGTTGGTATTGGGTAGTGGATGGATTGTTGGTGGAAGTGTTTGAAGACGAGAGTGGTTGATTGAAATGTGATGATGTGCTGATGTAGAAGAAACCAGATGGGATTACCTCTTTATGTAGACGATGTGAACAAATATGCTACGTCATGGTGTCAACCATGTCCTCTCAAGCCTCTGATGCAACATGGTGTTCAAAACAATAGGGAGGCAGGGCCGCGATCTAGATCCCATACCGCGATCATAGTTATGACCGCATAGTCCAGAATGCCATACTGACCTCCACAAAGCACCATACCAGCAAGGGCTTGATGTGCACTGGAAAGGGATAGGCATATGGCGATCCGGGAAGCGGGAACCCTTACTAGAGGCGGGACCTGATTGCGCTTGTCGGAGGTATGCGATGCAATGACTAGCACATGTGAGAGTCGCCGCGTCATACTGTGGTGGTGCTGCAGGCGGATGCAACGAATGAAATGCAGCCCTCCACAATCTCTTCTCTTTCGGAGTGACTGGCAGTGCGCCAGCGTTCCTACAATGCCATTGATCCTATGCGAAACCATGTAGACGTCGATGTAGTCTCGCAGAACGTATCCTGTACTGCGTCATGCCTCCACAGAGAGACAGCAACTGGACACCCGCCATGCAAGGGACAGCACGATAGCCCATGGACCCAGAGCTAGCATCGCACCTGCAGCCAAAAGAGGGTGACAGTCGACGTCAACACAAGCGTAGTGTCAGGGGAGTGTGGAGCCTCTTGTCTGAGACACAGATTGGCGAGATCGATCGTGCATGAGATATCGGTTTTCGTGCAATGTCGATGACGCTGGGGGCTGGAAGTTTGTTTTGAGATGGCTGGTCGACGTTGGGTGGGAGCATTGACGCGAAACGCGACATCGCGACGTCACGACATCACGTTGGCCCGGAAGCGACTTAGCCTGCACTAGGGTAGGGAGGGATGTGTGCAATTGGGCAATCAAATCATCGCAGTTGAGATACGCATCCGTTTTTATTATTATTGATGATAGCCACAGTGTCATGGGACACAACTCTCCAGCGCTGCCCCAAACTCCGCTGGGTCAAGGCGAGACCCGAGAGTATTCGCTTTGTTACCGGGCATAGGTTTGAAGACGTAGCGAATTGCCTGAAAATACATGTGCAGCCCACGTCGTATATCATCTTCAAGACGCTAAATTGTAGTTCGCAGATGATATCATTTTTAACCCGTAACCATGAAATTGTCCCTATCCAGATAATACATAATAGAATTGACTACGCCAAAGATGCACAACGTTCATCAGGTAATACAGCTACGATCAATCTACGCACTGGCGCCGGCATCGACCGCAGTTCCGCTCTCGCTAGTGTCCTTCTTGGCCTCCTCAGTCTTCTTCGCGGCGGCCATTTGCCATGCCGGGATGGCAGCGCGTCCCGGCGACGGCCTACCGTACGCAGGGAGAGGCTTCTCGGTGGCTGGGCTGGGAGTAGGCGCGGATGTTGCGCTACCATTTGTCTGGGTCTCGGTAGCGCTCGTGCCGTTGGTCTGCTCACTGGGCGCAGGAGTGGACGACGGCTGTGGTGTAGATGCCGAAGCAGCGGGTGTGCCGTTGGTGTTGGGTGTCTGCGATTGCGCTTGTCCGTAGTAGCCCGAGGTGCTCTGTGGGCGTGGTGGTGCGGGAGAGCTCATCCTGTTCCCGATCAATGTCTTCAGGCTCTTCAGCTCAGTAGACAGCTCCTGCAGCCTCTTGTCGGTTGACTCCTTCTGAGAGTCCAATGCCTTTGGGATCAGGTCCCTCAAGCCGCGAACGTCATCCTCGATACGTCTGTTGTCGTCTCCCTGTCTCTTCGACGACTCCTTGAGACTCGCCAAGACACTCTCCACTTCGCCGAGCGCGTCATCCAGTCTTGTTGTCCGTGCCTCTTCCGATGCCTTGAGAGCGGTTGTGTCGGTGTTGAGCTGCTCGAGGAGATCGAATGCGCGCTTGAAGGATTCGTCGACTGAAGCCTTGTCTTGCTCCAGCTGAGGCTGCGTGGGTGGTTGTATCAGGGGCAAGACATATCGTTTCGCTGTAAAGTAGAGGCCGTATCCTACACCGCCCATGACCGTCGCCATGATGAAGTAGTCGCGCCAGTCGCGTTTCGGCGGTCTATATCCGTCAGCATCGGAGTCATACCTGTACAATACACATGCTTACTCTGGAGGCGGCGGAGGCGGTTGCCAGTATTGTTGAGGAGGATAGCTCCCATACGGGGCTGCCGGTGGTGGTCTGTATGCATTGCTGGCTACTGCCGATGTCTGGGGTGGAGGCGATGAAGGATAGCTGGGGTCTTCGGCCGCACGCGCGAGCGAGACATCGACTTCTTCCTGTGTGAGGTTCTTGGATTGGAGGAAAGCGATGCGCTTCTCAAGGGGCGCGCTGGCAACGGACGGGTCCTGGAGGACTGGCGGCTGTTAGTATCGTCGCGTAGAGCGTGCCATGCGTGGACCTACAAGACACCGCCGACTGTATTATATCCTCGCGGACCATGTTCGCTACACGATACGCAATGCCAGTAGCACGCGCAGATTGAGGTTGGTGATGGAACTGGAGTGTCGCGAAATGACGATCCGAAAGCTGGAGGCGGGTATGCCTCGGCTCCTTTAGATCGGCGGTCGGTTCCGCCTCGTCTCACGTGGCTCGCCGACCGCAACTCTTTGCCAACTTCGACTCTGCGATGCGAGACGTCCCAACTTCAGATTCTGACTTTCCATCGCAACATGCCCTGGCCTATGGTTTCGAATACACGATATGCTAGCTGTCTACACTATCGGCACTATGTCCACGGAAATGACGGTGGGAGCCGTGCCACACCAAATCGTCAGCCTCCACTAATAAACACGGTACTGCGGTGACGCATCAGACGCTCTAGCGAAATCATCAAAGTCTGTACACTAACTTATGCCACCGGTTCATTTTTCGATCACTCTATCGTTCTTTACTTCTTCTCTTTAAGAAATTCTGATTACTTCGCCCGCCGGAGAGCATCTACAATACTTTGACTTAGCAGGTAGGTGGGGCGGGACAAATATAGTGTCAGTAAAAAGAGATATCACGGCCACAGATTGTGGGTACATGTCGGTCTCATTCCATGTTCTGTCAATATTTCGACGCAATGTCCCTTCGAGAACGTGGCAGACAGCACGAGAAAAAGAACAGATTATCACGCAAGCTACTGAGAACCGTGGTTGCAATACACTGGAACCAAGGCTGACATTCGACACGTGATACCATGCAAGCTGCCAGAGCTTCAGAGTATATCGCTACGTACCTTAGGAATCCATACCTCGATATTCGGTATTTTCAATCGTCGCACTGTGTCAACGCGATTTCTTTGTAGTTGCGTCAGCTTTCAGGATTACCGTTTGATCACGTCTATCAATTGCTTTGTGCTCGGATGGCCCACATAAGGCGACCCTTTTGTGCCCGGCCAGTTAGAGTACTGTGCGCTCCCTCATATGAACATCCGCTCATTGGTTGGTTCAGTGGCACTATGAGCGCCCGGTATCTTGTCGGTTCGAAAGTGAAGGCGTTTACTGTGCGGATCTCAGGCTTTCTTGCGGTGTATCCACGGCCTTCACCTCATTGTGAATGGAGTTTGAGACAAACGCAGATCTCCGCCTCTCAACCAATCTCACACTGCTAGATTCCTCGTTTTATCTCCTTCAAACTCTCGCATATCTATAGCAATTGCAGCTATCGTCCAACTCAGCAACAACATGGACCGAACGAACATTATCGGAGGCAACGAACTCGCGCGTGTGATGGCTTTGTCTTCTCCAGGCAAAGGCAAAGGAAAGGGTAAGAAAAAAGCTCCTGAATCCCACGCGAGCAGTCCTCTAAAGCAGAAGATTATCAAGACTGTACCGACTGCGAGGGCAAAGGCAAAGTCCACGAGAAGCGCGACCTCAACTTCAGCTGCCACTCCGCAGCGAGCTTCCGAGGCTAGGTTTTACGAGGCGAACGGCTTGAAAATTCCGTTATATAATAAAGACGGCTTGGGCAACAAGAAGAGGCCGTATGCTCGCTTGTCCAAGGGTCTACTCAAGTACAGCGTGGACAAATTACTTGACATTGTAGAGCAGTATGCAGGCGCGGAGAAGAGACAAGAGCTGAAGGACGAGGGATTAGCAAAATCAAGGCTCGCGAATTGGATCGAAGAGAAGGAGACACTTGCTTTTGGACGCAATCCGAAGTCGACATTGTCTAGTAGGTTTCTTTCCCATCGTATCCAATGCGCGCAGGTATACTGACAGTCTAAGTCGCAGATGAAGAAGAAGCCGATGATGCTGATGACGCCGTTTCCTTCCCGGCGCCCACCACCCCGACATCTTCCAGTATGAGAACACCAATACAGGCCAATACACCCTGTACATCCATTAACAAAAAATATGACTCGCCAATTGCGACCAAAGGCAGTATTACCTCCTGTCAATTCACTCACCGGAAGAGGAGCGCACCTGACGGTCCATCGGACGGCCAGCTACATGCGAAGCTTCAGAAGCGTGACGCACTAACAAACACGGCCGCTACAAATACCGGACATTCGGCTAAGGATGCATTCATAAGGACCCCAGTTGACTACGACATACCAACGCTTTCGCAAACGGCAAGGCAAACAACGGTATATAACGTCAGAAGCTTCCGTCAAGATGTGTTTACGCAAAGCACTGGAATGAACCCTTTCAATCCCGATCGCTCTTCGATAATCATTCGTGGAGATGGTGAGAATCATGTACTCACGGTCACATCTGGCCAAGGTTTTCGCAAGGGCGAGACCTACTTCCATGAGACCACAAGTAAGCAAGAGCTTTCCTTTGGGTACTCCTGATATACTTCGGGTTATTTATATTCGCTGCACACTTCCTTGTAGTCATCTGTATACCTCCTGGGGCGGTCGAAACAGAAATTATCTCGGCTGTTCACTCCGCTTGCTTCATACAGCACACCTCGCTAACAAGCTACCTAGTACCACATCGCGCTACCAAGGCCCACCAATCTCCTTTCGTCCCATATCTGAAAGAAGGAGACCACGGACGTAAAGGTGACTTTCGAGCCGACAACGACCGGCGCACGGGCGAAGGGCATCAGTTTGAACCGGTCGACCACCTGAAATGGGTAGAGTTCAAAAAGTTCCGCAGCACAATTTACGAGCAGTTTCCACACTATCCGAAACCGGGCCAGGGGATACCACTCGATCTTGAGACCAAGGATACATGGGATGCATGGCAAATTTGGTACGATGAGTTCACGAATAAGTACCCTGGCTATGCCGTCGCCCACTTGTGGCCTTGTGGCTGCGAGAAGGTGAGAGACGAGGATGAGAGTGAGGAGGAGTAATGGTGAAGGAGATCTCTATTGGCATACGGCAAGCATGTTCCACGATCGTTATGCGGAAGCTTGCGGCATGCGAAGGATGTATAGGTCACGGGTGGTCAAGATGTAGATGTTCAAAAACTTCAACTCGATGCCTGAAAGGGTCAGTCACCCCACGCTCATATCTTGTAAATGTCTCACAATGCTAAACCCTATTAAGGGTAAGTGTGCGAAAATATTGGTACAAGACTCCTAGTCTCCTACTGACTGTGTCTAGGCTTGAGATTTCTTACATCACTCGCTTACCTCTCCCACGGCGCCTCACCAATAACGACACCTGCAATCACTACAAACGCTAAGGGCCCGCTGAAATAGGACTCTGGTAACAAGTCACTGCGGACACTACGCCTTGCCCGACTTGGACTACTGCAATATAAACCCTCTGTTTCTACTCTTCCTACTCATCTCTCATCTCTTCTTCACAAACAGAGCATCATCTGCCAAAAGCAAAGTCTTCGCTCTGAACATCTCGCGCGCTAAGCAAAGGCACAAAATCAGCTCAGACATCAAAGTCACAATCATAATCATAATCACATTGTCTACTACATCAACAGCGATTATCATACGCTAAGAGCAAATCATGAGCACCTCGCGCACAAACGGGATCTCAGCCGTCAACTCAGGCATGACGCCAGTGCACTCGCTCAAACGCACTTCGGCAGGAGCGAGAAGAGACAGCGGCATGGGCTTGATGACACCGTCAAAGACACCATCATCACCAGACAAGCCTACAATGCGTCTGAAGCTTGAGATACCGCAGCAAGAGACTGCCAAAGAGGATGTCCGCAAGCGCAAAAGCGAGAGCAACGCAGCAGACGAGAACAAGCTCGAAACACTGCAGCAAGAGACTCCCAAAGAAGATGTCCGCAAGCGCAAAAGACCAATGCCGCGCAAAGCAGAGATGAAAGCAGCAGAGAATCACGTGCTCGAAATCCCACAGCTCGAAATCTCCAAAGAGCAAGAGCGCAAGCTCAAAATCCAAAAAGCCGCTGCGAAACGATGGGCCCCCAATCTCCAAAGGCCCCCGCCTCAGCTAAAAGAGATCAACGCTGCCTACAATAATAAGCTTATGAGGCATTACACCGACGAGACTGCAGCACCGTCAAACACTTTCATCAGACCGCCGATCAACAGATCCGCGCGAGTCGACAGCTTACTGGCAAGCCTTCCACTTCAACCCGCAAAAGCATCCGAAAAGTCATACAGTCAGAAACAAGCCGAGCGCAGCGAAGAAGCCAGACGAGCCATACTCTTACAGCAAAACAAGCGCATCACAGAAAGTGACTACGTTAAGAAGCTGGCGTGGGAAGCTTTCTCCTCCAACGACCAAGAACGCAAAAATCACGAACGCTACTCGATGATGATTTCGGGTCTGAAAGTCGAGGAGATGCAGAAAGAACGGAATGGCAAGGATAATAAGTTGCCTGACTGGAGAAAGGTGAAGACGGGTCGGTTCGCGAAGTCCACTGGATAGGAGGGTGGGGGGTCAGGGTCCGGCGAAGGGCTCCGAGTCCAGCGATACGAAGCGTATATTACGATTTTTGTTTGGGATGCGGCATTTGTTTTGAGGAGTATGGTGTTTGGTGTCGCGGATTGCGGCGGTTGCGCTTGGAAACGTTGCGATTGTTCAAGGGTTGGGTTGATTGGCTGAGTGTTGGGGTAGAAAAATGTCGACTAGTCGAGGCAACTATGGTACTTGGTACTACCGTACACAAGGGTCCACTTTGACGTTTTTGACCAGTGACAAAAATTGTATATGGCAGTAAAATGCAGTATCCACGCAACGCAATTATAGTACCAGATATTGTTATACATCAGTCTCCACTTCGACGTTTCTAACCAGTGATGTGGGATGTATATAGCAAATAAGTGTCGTATTCACACAACCCAACTATAGTACTGTAATGACTAGTTCCGCTGACCATATGCGCACTATTATATGCACGAACTCTCACATATTTCATGCTAAGCTATGTAAGAAAATATGTCCATGTCCTGTGAATACTTCCAAGGGCCATACCATCTCACCAAACCTCTACATCAAGATTCCGCAAAGAAGTTGAATCCCAACTATATCATCTCACACCAACACAAAACCCTAAATTAGAGACCATGAAGCATATCCTATCGCCATCCCGATGGTGCGCAGAATCGCCTCCCCAAATGGGCTCTTCATTACCACCCACAACACCATGGACCAGAAAACCTAAACGCAAATGCCGCCTAATCATCCATCCACCCAAGCAAAAACCACCAACAGCAACCTACCTACGCACACCCTTCAATAAATCCTACCGGTTCCCCAGCATAAAGAAAGCCAAAAATGACATACGCGACTTCAACGAAATGGAGTTCGTAGAACTAGGTGTTACGCCTCTCATCCACAAGTGTGAAGATATGGGCGATTTGGGACTGAGTGGCGTGTGGATGGAAGATGATGAGAGAGGGGAGAAGGGCGAGAAGGAGTTTGGGATTGGGTTGAGGTTAGAGAAGGAGGAGGATGAGGGGAAGAGGAAGAAGGTAATCTGGTTGAAGGAGAAGTTGTGGGGGAAGGGGACTTGGGCTGTTACGGGAGTGAGGGAGGAGGAGATGGAGATGGAGCGTGAGCGTTTGGCGAGAAGGGAGGTGCCGGGGTTTGGTGACGAGGATGAGTTGGAGATTAATGGTGGACCTGTGATGCACAGAGGGGTCCCAAGTTTCAAAGACTTCAACAAGGACGAGATTGATGGCGGGCCGTTACCAAAAAGAGAGTTTCCAAGGTTCGCTGGCATTTACGATAATGCCATGATGGATGGTTAGTAGGATTGGATATGTGAGGGCTTCTGAGATTTGATGGAGAGCACCTTCAGGCTATGTCATGGGCACGACAGTTGGTTAAGGGTACTACAGCGACAGGTTTCAGGGCATGATTCCGGTACTCGGGTATACGGTTGTGCGCGATGGCCTCTGTGTTTACATATTCTTTCTTCTAGTAATCGTAAAATCCTTTTCCACTCTTCTTTCCTAGCCATCCTGCATCCACCATCTTCTTCAACAGCACTGCGGGTCTGTACTTGGAATCACCCGTGTCGTGGTACAAGACCTGCATGATCGCCAGGCAAGTGTCGATGCCGATGAAGTCCGCTAGTTGCAGTGGGCCCATAGGTACATTCGTTCCGTTCTTCATGATGCTGTCAATGTCCTCCTTGGCGCCTACACCCGTCTCCAGGCAGATGACAGCCTCGTTGATGTACGGCATGAGGATACGGTTTGCGAGGAAACCGGGGCTGTCGGCGGACTTGGAGGGAATCTTTCCCATTTTCTCACAAAAAGCGATTGCAGTTTCGACGGTAGCCTGCGAGGTCTGGAGGCCGGTGATGATCTCGACGCCCTTCTGGATGGGTACGGGGTTCATGAAATGTGTGCTGATGACGCGCGATGAAGCCGAGAGATCTGTGGGGTCGGTGGTAGTGCTCGCCGCAATTTTAGTGATCGAGATAGACGACGTGTTGGTGGCCAGGATGGCGTGTGATGGGCAGATTTGCGCAAGTTGTGAGAAGATCTTGTGCTTAAGGTCTGGGATCTCGGGTACGGCCTCGATAACGAAGTCGACGTCCAATAGGTCGTCCATCGATGTGCTGGACGTTAATCGCTCTCTTGCTGCGGAGGCATCATCTTTCGAGATCCTGCCTTTTCCAACGTCCTTTTCGAGGAGCTTGTCCGCAAACTTTAAGCCTTTGTCGATTGAGGCTTGGGAGTTGTCAATCAACCGGACCGGTACTGAGGCTCTCTGTGCTGCTACTAGAGCTATTCCGAGACCCTGAGCATGTTAGATTCATAGCTGTAGGGTTAAACTTTGATGCATACCATTTGGCCTGCTCCAATAACACCCAGCTTCTTGACCTCAGCGGCAGCACCAACAGAGGGAGTTGAGCTGAAGGCGCGGCATTGCTGCCTCACTGCGCATCGTGCGACTTGTTTTGAGGCTACGGAAAACATTGTATGCGGTTTACTAGAAGGAGCGCAAGTAAATTGTGGAATACGGACGATCAACATGTGATTCGAAACGACTTTCCCCAGGCCGATGAGAACCGCGGCGGGCTAGCCGAGGCATGACGTTGACTGGCGGCGGGAAGGCGCGAGGATCAGCCCTGGCTTGGCGGGTTTGCGCGGTTTGTCCCGCTTGTGGCACTCTACGCGTCGACGCGTCTTTTGGGTCATCGCGACACCGGCGGGCAATCTGAGCATCAACCACCACAATGGCTCAGACAACGCTGGACGATTGGGCGCAGGACACTGTGAACCCGGAAGTTCGCGCCCACGTCTCCAGTCTGATATCTGCCGTACGTATTCTCTTTCACTGACATAATGGCTACTGATATGGAAACAGCTCGGTGGTATCGGCGATGACGGCACGTATGCACTCGGACACGACGCTCTGCTGTGTCTTAAGGACCTACGAAAATGGCTAAAGTTCGCCGACGGGCAGTACAATCGGCGCGACGTAGCACGATGCATGGCCGAAGCAAACCTCGTAAAGGGCGACTTGCTTGAGATACTGGCCAAGATATCGCCAACTGTCATGGAAAGCGCATGGAAGCACAAGATTGCGGTTGCGACACGTGAGCAAGCATTTCCTAGGTACTGAGACTGTACTGACAATTGCAGTGGAACTTCTCGTGCCTTTAACGTGGCCTAACGAAATCGACCCCACCGAAGCGACCGTAAACCACCACCGACATGGTCCTTATATCGGGCTCGCTCAAATTGGCTACAAACGTGCTATTTTGCAATTCGACCGAGACAGAACCCTGCAGACTGCTGTCAAGATTGCGCTCCCTTCCATGGCCGCACCCCTCCGAGAACGTACGCCACGAGATGAGGGTATCATCCGAATCGCGCTATACTTCATACGCAATATTGCCATGCTCTCGCCCCCAAACAACGCACACATGGACACCGACGAAGCCGAAGTCTCCCGATCTGCAACAATTGATACTTTCCAAGAGCAGGACATATTTCAGGTGATTCTGAGTATGGCGTCTAGTATCGGAGAGGACTTTGTTACCCAAGATGTTGTTATCCTCGAAATCCTTTTCTTCCTACTCAAAGGCATCGATGCTGAGAAGCTGTTCATGGAAGACAAGAAACTCAACACCAAGAACACGGACGAGCTTAAGGGCTTGATTCAGAAAGAAAAGGCCATGCTTGCAGGCTACGCTCGCAATGCACCGACCCGGCATAACCGATTTGGAACAATGATCTGGATGAAGCGGGACGACGAGAAGGTCACAACCATATCTGGGCAGGATGTGCTCGGAAAGGCTCAGGCTAGCATGCAGAAGATGGACGATACAAAGAAGTGGAACAAACCCCGTCGTCCCGGAAAGAAGCAAGCCGGCGATGAAGAGAGGGAGGAATTCGATCTTCCGGTACCATTGACCTCATCTGCGCGGAAACATATCAAAGCGTTCGTCGAGGAGTTCCTCGACTCGTCCTTTAACCCTCTGTTTCTGCATCTCCGGAAAGCTATCGAGCGCGAAACGGAGCGTGTGGAAACACGCCACTCCAGGCAGTTCTTCTACCTCGTATCGTGGTTCCTACGAGCAGAGTGCGCACGGCGGCGGACGATGAAGGAGAGGGCCGCAGACCCGAAGAGTCCTGAAGTTCTATCTGCTGAAGACGAGAGCTACGGACTGGTAGCCGAAGTCATGAACCAAGAGACTTTCATTCTACTCAACCGCTTCATGCAGAAGAGTCAAGATGAGAAGGCATGGCGAGACCTTAACGCTGGGCTGAAATGCTTTACGCAAATCTTGCTCACTGTGCATGAGATGTCCGAGTCAGGGCTTGAGGAAGACCAAGAGATTGCCGAGAATATTCAGAATCGTATCTTCTACGAAGAGTCAACACATGACAGGATAGTCATGATCCTGAGGTCATACAAAGATCAAGGCTTTGGCTACCTTGACGCAGTCACAGAGCTTTCCCATGTATTCCTGCGGATGCTCGAGCGCTATGCGAAGCAGAACGTTGACATGCAAATCCGATCGAAAAGACGAGCCCGAAAGATCAAGAAGAAGAAGGCTGAAAAGCAGGGCGAAGACGGAGAGGAAGAGGGCAACGTCTCTGAAACTGAAGATCTTCAACAAGCCCAAAAGACGGTTTCTGAACGGAAGTTCGATTTCATGAAGTTCTCGGCAAAGTTTGTGAACCAAAGCAGCGTCAACACTTTCGTTGCCTTTGCCAAGTATTTCAGCGATCTTGATACCGAACAGCTCAAGCGTGCGCATCGCTTCTTCCATCGCGTCGCTTTCAAGATGGAGCTTGGCGTCTTGCTATGCAGGGTGGACATCCTGGCACTTTTCAACAAGATGATGAGAGGTCCAGGTGGTCTTGATCCAGAGTCGCCAGCTTATAGAGAGTGGGATGACTTTGTCAAGCACTTCTTCAGACAAGTAGTCAAGAGAGTACAGGAACGACCGGAGCTGGTTGTGGAGATGCTGTTTGACAAGATCCCCGCAACCATCTTCTTCCTTGAGCACGGATATGATCGCGAGATACACACTCGAGCACCACGAGCTCCGGCAGAGCTTGAGGTCAAACCTGGAATGGAGCTACCCGATCAGATCGGTGTCGCTGTTGGTGTTCTTGTCAATCAATCAAAGTCGGATGCTCTCCGCTGGGTACGAGATGTGCTCACATCAGCGGCTGAAGAGCGCAAGGCGTGGGAAGAGGCGGCCGAAGCACAAAAGGCGTTGGTAGCTGACGTAGAAGAGCGCCCAGAAGGCGAGGCAGCCGAGGTTCCAGATACTGAAACCTCGAAGCCGCCATCGATCTGTAAGCATCTTGCTCTCACTGCAAACAAGTCTGCTAACCGAGTCTAGTCATCAAGCACGATACCGAAGAACGCCGCGTCGCTATGTTCAAAGACAACAAACTACGACTGCTCATGAACCTGGTCGGCTTCGAGAGGTTAGGAGAACATCACGATCCGGACGCTTCATGGATCATACCTTCATCCCTTACTTCAACGCAACTGCAGGAAGCCATCGATCTCATTCGCAAGTATGAGTTCGATCCGCCAACATATGAGGACGGCAAAGCGCCAGAAGACTTGCTTCGTAGCAAGGCTGCATCAGCTCGACGCTCTACTCGCCGGGCCGAATTTGACGACGACTCTGATGGCATAGACCGCGACGAGGAAGAGGACCACGGAGAGTACGCCAAGGGTGGCCCCACTGAGAGAGACGCAGACGCCCCTCGCAAGACTCTGAAGCGACAACGCCGAGAGAGGAGCCCCGTGGAGCTTGACGACGAGGAGAAGGACCGCAGAGCTGAGGCACGCCGCAAGAAGGAAATCGAGAAGCAAGCCAAAGCATTGAGTACTATGTATGTACATGACTCAGACGACGAGGACTGGGACGCTGAGAAGGATGCCGCCTTCTTCGCGCGAGAACAAGCGATCCGCGAGGAAAACATGAAAGTCTTTAAGAAGTCGCTTGTACTTGGTACCGTGGAGCCAGCCGTTTCTAAGAAACGGAAAGCCGATGCACCGGCGAAGAAGAGCAAGAGAAGAAAAAGTCCACCGAAACGGAAAGCGCCATTCGCCGATAGTGACGACGATATGGAAGATGCAGAGAGCAGCCAAGCTCTTTCCGTGGTTGATGGCAATGAGGAAGAAGATGAGGACGATGACGAAACTACAGATACTCCGCTTTCATCGCAGAACGCTGGCGCAACGGCGGTCAGTGATGCCGATACTCCCAAGAAACCAGCAAGTAGTACGACGCAGAAGATGGATACCACAATGGCAGATGCAGATTCTGATGACGATGATGACGACGATGCACCGGTAGCGCGCAGGCCTGCGGCGGCCCGTAACATGAGGGCTGGCTTTATAATTGACAGTGACTCGGAGTAAAGAGTGCGGGTGATGACACCTTCGGTTTTATCTAAAGGAAATGATTGCATAGCATAGCATGGTGTCTTAGGTTTGTGCTTTTCAGTGTTTGAATACCCATCATCTTGTTATCTTAATATCGTCTTATTTCGTTCGTGTTGTGGGTTCAAGTGCCAAATTGACATAGCTTGGCCGATACAGAGTATAGTGCAGTTGTCCGTTGACTAGGCACGCGAGGAGGATTTCAAGAATATTGGAGGCTTGACGCCAGAAACCCACATAATCGTAGCTTCCGGGGGCGTTTCGTTTGTCCGCGACTGCATATTTTTGTCCCATGACGTTGTTGTTGATCCGAGGTGGCTGCTTCGTGCTTTCCGTGTTTACTACCCTAAGGTCAACATCATCCACAACAACACTCAGTGGGTAAGTCCTTCTTCTCCACAAACGCTGCTCACCACACTACAGCCATGCTAACATATTCAGATCAACACAGATTCGAGCAAATCCGAGCTCAGTGGGAGACGGCTCGGCCAAGTGAAGACGGAACAGCGGCGATGGTGGGCTGGAGAGAAAAGCCGACAATTCACCACGCGGTGAGTAGTGAGCCTCAAGAGAACAGTGGCAGCAAATTCCGGAGGAAGCTCAGCTATGGCTTCGCTTTCATCTCAAATCCCCTCTCGCAACGAAAGACGACCTCGGGACGTCATCAAGTGAATGTACCGTCACTGGCTGTTACTGAACCATCTGCAACCGACATTACTACACCGAATCCTATATGTGAAGCTGCGCTTTCGCCAATGCGTATTTCTGCGCCATTCAACCACTCCAACGATGCGACCGAAGAGTCCGCAACAGTCCCGTTTAGCAGGACTTTACCCAAGAGCGCAGATACCGATACTATACCGCAGCCATTACCCCGATCGCGTACGCTGAGCTTCATCCCTCTCCCAGTTAGAGTTGAACCTCAGTCGTTCGCCGCAGACGTAGAAGGCGCAGTCAAATCCCATTCCCTTGCGGTAATGCCTCAGTCAGAGCCAGATTCGGTACCTTCGAAAATTCCTACTCCCAGCCCGCCATCCCTGGAGCGCCGTCGCTCTAGTCCGCGCCAACACGTTCAACAACATGTCTCGTACCGCGCTTCTCAACAGATCAAACAGATCGCGACTGCCCACGCGTTGGCGGCCGCCAACAATGGTTCTCCGGTGAAGCATTCCTATCAGTTGCGCTCACGTACAACACCAAATCTCGTCAAAACAGCCAACGGACCACAGTCGGCGCGATATGTGGCTCCGAGGCGGCCAGGACCTAAGATGTCTATGGTATCTCCAATAGCTCAAAGGCCGCTTCTGCAAGAGAACATACCAACGGATAGGCGTATGTCACACAGGCGGTCGCAGATCCAAGAGAGAACGTTGAAGAGGGAACCGCTTGCAGTGCCTGGTACTCTGAACAATAGAAGGTCATTTGGTCCGGGACTACAATATTCACAGAGCAGGGAGCCTAGCTTCGCGACTCTACCTACAGTAAGGAAGAGGATGAGTTCACAGCTTGCACAGCAGACGCCGGTGACGGCAAAGCGGATACAGTTTGAGGAACAGGAAGATGCATCACCAGCATCACCCCTGATGTCAAAGTCTGCAGTTGTGCGGCCTGGCAATACCGAGCTTCCATCACCAACTCCAGATACGAGCGATCATACCAGGCCAGCTCTTCCCCGGTCGCACACGGACAGGGAAAAGCAAAGGAAAACGCTAGGAACACCAAATGGTTTGGGTGGCGTCTGGCGGTCATCCCACGCTTTGGCAATGACTACACATGAGGTGAGCAGACTTCCACATTCCCATACCTTCCATAATTTTGGAACCCACTTGGAATTTGCTCCACCAGTGCCTCGTATCCCGAAGCAGTACAGGACAGCGTCTTTGTCGGACTTGGTCCAGTCAGTATGCATGGATCCGAAGAGCACCGTCCCGTCTCAACATGTTGGGGTCAGATCAGACGCGAGCTCGTGCGAATCGATACCCGAGGAGACGGACGAAGAAAGACTGAGTGCCACGCCGACATATAAACCTTGTCAGTCTGGACGAGGGCTTGGGTCGTCCATGAAAATCACCGGATCTAATTTCGGTCTGGCGGCGTTCCCCCCAGTACCAACCACAGTTCCGACCAGAGCACCAAACACAACTGGAAGCGTGTGGGCCAATTCTTCCAGCCACTTCCGGAGTAGACCTGTGCAAGAGGGGTCCGAAGTTGCTGACAATGAGATCTTTCAGGTCAAAGACTATATGCCGCCGCTTTACTGGGCTGGAAGATTCCAGTCTCGATACGATCAATGGCGTACCGATGCAATGAAAGCTGAACTTGACCCTGCCCATCATACCTCCGGCCTCTTAGGAGAATGCAAATTGAACCAAGACAAGCTCGCGGCGTGCTATATACTCGGACAACTGCGCGATTTGTGCACTTCCGATCAAGCAGCAGATAGCCTTTGGGTGTGTTGTACCTACTTCGTGATTATGAATCCGTCTTACTGACTGCGTCCAGGAGTTCGAGTGCAAATACAGGAGAGATCACAAACTTCTCGGCAATCCCGCAGATCTTCCACCAATGCCATTCCGTAAGCACGACGACAACACGACTTCTGCAGGAGCCGGAGCATTTGGAAGGGCCGCGAGGAAGCTGACCCCACGCAAGGCTAGCCTGATCAACCTGATGAAGGGCAAAGGCTGGAACAAGTCCGACGAGGCGAGGAGCAGCGACCCGACTGAGCGAAACCAGGAGACGTCCTCGGATGGTCCGTAAGCCTGCCAGGATGATGAAGCATGCTGAAGACGGAGGGCCATGTCACGACCTGGACGAGAACACGGAAGCTGAGGATGAGGCTACGATCATATGAAACCTGCAAAGAGTAAAAGATGTTACGAGACACAACGAAGGCAAAAAGGGAGTGCGAGAGTTTGGGACCTCGTTCATGACATGGGAACGTCAAGATATCAACTTTGTGATCTGCACAGAAGGCATGCATTGTTAGATATCCACAGAAGGAAGTAGTAATGTAATTATTAGTCTGGGTTCCAACTCGCAGGGAAACGGCGTTAGTCATTGACCGAAGTGTTGTCCGCTGTGAGCATGACATATGTATAACTGATGTAACGACAAGAGATTTGAAGCTTTGAATAGCTTTCACACGTATATAATTCACGAATCAGAAGGCCCTTGCTTGCCCGCATTCTCGAACGGCTTAGTCGATAGCCTTGCGCTTAGCAATCGGGGATCGAGCCACTATTGGAAATTCCATTGAATTGTTGAAAGACCTCATCGTTTGACCTTCCAACAATTCGATGAGATTTTCAATAGCGGCTCATCCCGGGCCGCCAGGCCCAGGACCAGACGTATGTATTCATAGTGCTATGAGCAGACATCATGTCCTATTAAAGGATATGCACCGTGACCTATCATAATCACCGTATCTGTGCCTCTACTCCTTCTTCTCAGGCTTAGGCGATAGCTCCTCAACGATATTGTTGGGATCTTTCCAAGCCAACGCAACGTACTTGGTATGACTTCCCCGTGCGAAGATCTCTCCCTTGTTATTGCTGAAATTGATGGATGTGAAAGCGAGTGTTTTCCCGACTGGGGTGATGTAGTCAGCAACTAGGTGTCTTGGGCAAGGCATGCCGACATGATCAACTCACACTTATCACACGTCACCTCGGCCTTGATCAAGTCGCCTATCTTGCCGCCGGAGGAGAGGTAGGTTACGTTTAGATCGGTGGATACGCCGGTTGCGAAGAGCCCACGTGAGGCTACTGCTAGGGAGCCGCCGAGGTCGACTGGGACTTCGTTAGATACTAGTGTTAGAGTGGGGGTCTTTGGGAGAGACGGCTTACCCATGCTAGCTATGGTTCCGCCGTGGAGGATGTTGAGGCGGTTCTAAGATAGGTGAGTTGCGAGAACATTGAAGGAGACAGTAGTTGGGGTAGCACGAACTGTATGCTCTTTCTGAATGTCTAGCTCAAACTTGACGCGTCCTGGGACTGCTGAGGTCACGCGGAGCTGGATCAAGGATCAGCCGCGAGTTGTTCGTATTGACCAAAGCATACTCACACCGTCTAGAAGCCTTTAAAGTAATCGTCTATTAGTTCTATTGGCATCCACTGGACGCTGAAAGTACCTTGGCTCCAAGCCGGAGTTGGCTCGGAATGATTCCCAGACCTAGCGACACGTCAGAAGATCCATAAGGTTGGTCAATGGCACTCTGATTAACTCACGGATCTCACAAACTTCAGCGCCGGCATATTCGATACTCACTCCCTGATGTGCGAAGATTGATGTCGTCGTTCCGCTCGGCAGTTACTCTCGTACCTCGGAAGCTAGACAAGGGTGGAGCGGAATTTGTGGGGTGAGCTTTCCGCTCGCTCGGCGCGTCATCTACTTTCTTTGGCGACTGGCGACCTGCGACCTCCACTTGCGCAGACCCAAGGCGCGACGCACGCGTCTCTTCCGCCCGTTCTCGTGAACTCTTCTTCTCCGAACATGATAATACGGCGGTAGACCAACATCCTCCTCTCCACATTCCCCCACGATGTCGGCTTCATCTTCGACTCAGGCGCTGGAATACCTAGAGGGTCTGCCTGTCGCGACACACAGGAGGCTGTATGAGCAGCCTTCGACTGTGTTGGCGGTATTCCGCTGCATGCTTCCGCATCTTGGTGAGTGGGCTGCTCATGTTCGCCGTGCTATCGCTAACAAGTCATAGCCAAATCCATAGTAATGGCGATGCTCTACAGACCCTCATCCTTTCCCGCAGCTGACCTAGACGCCTGGTTCAAACCTTCCGCTCGTAAAGAGAAAGAACAGGCCCTCTTCACCCTCGAGCGCCTACACATTATTGCCCCAGCGAAACAGGACGACGGTACCTCCTCATGGACAATAAGCAAAGACTTCCAGGGCAGCCTACGAAACGCACTCGAGGGCTCCGGTACGCACCGATCGTTCGGTGTACCTGCGACTAGGGAAGAGAGCGGCGGAAAGCGATTAAGCATAGACTTCCTGGACGAATACTCGCGATCGCAATGGGAGGGCATATTGTATTACTTGGTGAGCGGTGCGGCCGGGCTCAGCAGAGACAGTATCGAGAGAGCAGAAGTCGGTCCTGGAACGAAGAAGCTGCTGCACACCGGTGATCTTGTGAGGACCGTACATGGAAGTCCAAGGATTACCAAAGACGGCTTCTCTTTTGTGCTGCAAGAGACGAATGCCCAAGTCTGGAGTCTGCTCATCGTCTACCTAAAGATGACCAACGAAGTAAGTATTGAACCCCACGAACCCTGCAACGACTGTCCTCTTCGAGATCAGCCGACGCCAACGAACATCGAATCTGACATCGACCCCCAGCTCGGCATGTCCGAAACCGAAGTCTTATCCTTCCTCTTCATGCTTGGTTCCCTAGAACTAGGCCAGGACTATTCCACATCCACCCTCTCCCCCACCCAATCCCAGATGCTCGAGGACCTCTCCTCAATGGGCCTTGTCTACCGCTCCGACAAGAACGCCCGAACCTTCTACCCCACGCGCCTCGCCACGACTCTAACCTCAGACTCCGGCAGTGCCATGTCCGCCTCCTCCAACGACATCGCACAAGCCTCCCAAGGCAACGCGGGCCCTTCGGCATCCGCAAACAAAGGCTTCATCATCATCGAAACCAACTACCGCCTCTACGCGTACACCAACAGCCTCATCCAAATCGCCATCTTGTCCCTCTTCACCAAACTCCAACATCGCTTCCCCAATCTCGTTTCCGGTAAACTCACCAAGGAATCCGTTCACAAAGCCGTTCAATCAGGCATCACGTCAAGCCAAATAATCTCCTATCTGACGACCTACGCGCATCCTCAGATGCAGAAGACTATTCCTTATATCCCGCCTACGGTCATGGATCAAATCCGACTTTGGGAATACGAAGGCGAGCGTGTGGAAACTACGACTGGATACCTTATGCGGGAATTCAACTCAGATGCGGAGTACAGAGATGTGTTGGGGTACGCGAGTGCGCTGGGTGTGCTGGTCTGGCAGAACGATGCGAATCGCTGTTTCTTTGTGAGTCATGTTGAGCAGATTAGTGCGTATCTCAAGAAGAAGAAGGAGAACAGGGAGAGTGCTCGGGGAAGGTAGTTCTACCCTGAGCACTGAGTTCTATTGCGGATTTTCTTGGTGCATGCATGAAGGGCTTGGAGATACAAAGTTAGCTTTGGCTAGTCGCATTGGCACGGGCGTTTGAGAGGGCAAGCATTGGTGTTTAGTGGGGAAACTTTTGTGTGAAGATAGACGACATGGGTCTTGCTGATGGGTCTGAAATTGAAGACAGTTGGATCTTCTGATCCCAATGCCCTGTCCGAGTATCCACTAGCTGTTCGACTCCATTGGAGCTGAATACCTATTGGATACTCGGACATGGCTACTCATTGCCACTGTCATCCCCCAAATGCTCTCTCTCTCTCTCTCTGTTTCTCTCACAAGAGACCACCAAAGCGAATGTGACAACGCTAGAAGAAGCAACAATAGAACTCCCACCCACCCAGTCTATCATAAACTCCAGAAAACCAAAAAGTCAACCAACTCCACAGATGTTGTCGAAATGAGAGACATCTACCACCCAAACTTCTCAACCTGCACATCGACATCCCTCCCGCTCCAAATCAACTCCGCACACGTATTCCTTACATCCCTGACCAACCCATCCGGTCCACTAACCACAACCCCACTCCTCGCGTTCCCATTCATATCCTCCTCTTCAATCCACTCCCTCACAATACCGCCAGCATCCGGTCGTCCGGCAAGGGCCGTCGGTGGCGTAATGAGGACATCTAAACCCCAATCTTCTAATTCCTTTAGTTTATCCTCTGGGATCCAGAGGCGGTGATCAAGCGAATGCGTTATCCAAAGTAATTTTACTTTTCTCTCAGATCTGACGACGGATTCGGGGTCGGTGGGCGAGGGTTGCAAGAGGGCGTAGAGGAGGGGGTAGGCGACTGCTATGCCGGATCCTCCTGCAATGAGAATGGCTGTTGAGGAGGACTCTAGAAGATCGAGCGCATGAGATGAGCCGTAGGGGCCGTCGAGGCGGATGCGGAGTTGTGTGGTTGGATTTGGGGAGGCGCGTGCATGGCGAAGGAGGCTGTGTGTGAAGCCTGGTTCAGATTGGGCGCGGATGAGAAGGGAGAACCAGGCGTGCTTTCCTTGGCCGTCTTGCGTTATCGTTGTTGGGGCGGCGGAGAAGATAGTGAAAGGATGGGATTGGACGCCGTGTTTGCGGGAGAGAGACGGGACGGAGATGAAGATGTGTTCGTTTGGTTTCCAGCCTTGTGTCATGTTCTTGGCTAGGACCGCAGATTTCTTCGTATCGACTTCCCAGTTTGCTGAAAGCAGAAGCGTTTCGTCGTCTTCGAGGATTTCTAGTGTGGCGGGATGGGTGCTGGATTTTAACCACATACGGTAGACGAGTCGGTCGACGAGGAAGATGGCGAGGGAGATGCCAACGTATGGCCGTGAGGTGTGATGATGGAACCAGAGGAACACCAGTCCAGCGACCTGAAGTACGATATGCAGACCCAGGAAGATTTCATACCACCGCTTTCGGAAGCTTCCCAGGCTGGTGAAATAGATCAGCTCATACGCGATTAGTGCGGCTAGACCCAACAGCACAACGCGGTTGAATATGAATCTCGCCAGCGTAAACCCCAGATGCCTCAACATGCCATACCACACGGCAACCATGCCGAGGAAATGCAGGAACGCTTCCAGACAAACAAGCTCTCCTACTCTCCTATGAAAGATGTTCAGACTCTCATACGAGTATCCCGTCAACAACTTTATCGGCTGGTTCTTCGCAGCGAGGAGGTAAAGCAGGGGCAGATTCGTGATGAAGATGATTCCGCATCGGTCGGCGAATACGAAGAGGTACATGAAGGAGAGCGGCATGCGGTAAAAGTTGTAGAAGATATTCAGGCCAACCCAAGCGACGACGAGCAGCGAGACGGCGTTGGTAGGTAGTGTTTTGTTGACGACAGGAATGGGGCGAGGTTGGTATTGCAGTACGGACTTGAGCATGTAGTAAGGTCGCCATACTACAGATCTCGTCACGCGTCGGGGTCGCTGCGAAGGAAGGAGAGGGCTCGTTTCATCGGCATTGTTTATTTTCTTCGAACCGGTGGTATCGGGGGGCGTCGCATTCCCTTCAATAGTACTACTCGAGCTACTCCAAGCCTCTGCCTCTTCTTCATGAGCCGTCTCATCACCCCCCTTCGTTGTACTGACTATGCGCCTCTTCCGCCGGTGCAGCACGACCTTCTCGGACCAATGCCATACTGTGAAGACCAGCAGCACACCCAATAGCACTAGGTTGTATGTGTTCAAAAATCTCCGACTGAACAGTATGGCCTCAACCAGTTTGCGGAACCGCGGGTCTTTGCCAGGGTCATCCGGATCGACGAGATCGCCTCCGCCGGCGGCTTTAAAGGCGTCGTAGTCGTGCGCCCACCAGGGGGCTTCAGTTGATGCTGTCGCTGTTAGAGCGAAGCGGAGGGCGTCGCGTAGCCATGGAGGCGTCGTGTCCATTTTGAGAGATGAGCATGTGAAGAGGAGGATGTCTAGGAGAGTAGCGGCATATCAGATGGAGTAGTGTTCCAGAGTTTCCCCACATGTACTCGCGTCATCTCACGCGCGTGCGCGGGTTGTCAGGTGCTGCCGATAAGCTTATCGGGTGCTGCCGAGGCACGCGTAGCTTCATTGAGATGCGATGCCATTCCATGCCGAAAGTGATGGAATTGGGGTCGCTATTCTCTAATACGTATGCCGGAATTGTATCGAAGAACTAGCGCGTAGTTCAGCACATCTCTGAGTGTTAAACCTGATCCGGTATCCTATGTTACACAGCTCTTCGTAGATAGACCAGATGCAGTACCAAATATGATGAAGGCGACTTCATTTCATCGGCTTTCTTTCATCTATCCTACGAACATCTATTTATTCGTCCACTTAGCTTGCTCCTTCGCCGCAAAAGCAGCCATACCAATCTTCTGATCCTGGCTTCCAAACAGACCATGGAACACTCTCCTTTCATACTCCACACCCTCTCTGATACCAAGTTCCTGGCTCTTATTCACCACCTCCTTCGCTGCCTTGACAGCGATCTGGCTGTACCCCGCAATCTTCTCCGCCGTCTTGATCGCACCGCTAACACACTCCTCGGGTGTCTCAAACACCTTGGCAACAAGGCCCCAGTCGCTTGCTTGTTGCGCGGTGATGTTGTCGCCGGTGAGGATAACTTCCATGGCTCTTGACTTTCCAATTGCCTTGGTAAGGCGCTGCGAGCCACCTGCACCGGGTATGACGCCTAGCTTGATCTCGGGTTGTCCGAACACGGCCTTGGGTCCGGCGTACATGATGTCTCCCATCATGGCGAGCTCACAGCCTCCACCTAGCGCGTATCCGTTGACGGCAGTGATGAGCGGCTTCTTAAGGAATGTGATGAGGTCGGACCAGGACTCTATAAAGTCTTTGCCGTATGCGTCGCTGAAGGTAAGGTCCTTCATTTCCTTGATGTCGGCACCGGCTGCGAATGCCCTTTCCGATCCGGTGAGGACGATGGCGCCGATGGATTTGGAGGCTTGGAAGTCGCGGAGTGCTTGGTTGATCTCGAGGATGAGGGGGGTGGACAGGGCGTTGAGAGCTTTGGGACGGTTGATCTGGACTTGAGGTTGTTAGTTGATGTGCCAGGACATTTCTCTGGACTCTATAACAGTACTTAAGTAGACAATAGCAACGTACTTAAACCAACACCAGGTCTGGCCACCGATACAAGCAAATGCTCGAATGACCTTTCTGTCGCATATCCCCTCGCAAGTCTAGGTAGACCCGTTGACCGGAATTGAGAGGCTACCCTCGGTGTTGATCGAAATGCCTGCATCTTGTGTGTGTGTGTGTGTAGAATTGAGCTTTGACTACGAGTCCAGCTCAGGCAACAAGTGTTTACATCGAAAGAGAGCAGGTAGAGCTCAGAGCTTCAACAAGTGGGTAGTATCGGCACCTCGGTAAAGCGCGCCCGCCAAAAGATGCCCGTACCAACATCCCACTTCGACGCGACTAGTGGCTGCGTCTACCTTGGTCCTAGCGCGTTCTGGGCGGGCGCCGGCGATCTAAGCCCCAGCCTTGCGACGCATCTCAACTTTTTGACACGATTCCCTCAACAAGACGTCGCCTCCGCATTCACCACCCACGCCTTCCTACGCGGCGCACCTACTTCGCCCCTCCGCCATCTCCACGCAGTTCCTCACCCCCGCCGCGACGCAACCATGGACTCCCCCGAGCCGGATACCCCTTTCAGCGCCGTAACAGCACAAACGACCAAGTACGGGCGCCTGTTCCAAACTTACCTCGACAAGTCGACGCCCTACACACCTTACCGATGGGGCGGCACAGCGACGCTCTTCCTGCTCTTTGGCCTACGCATCTTCTTCGCCCAGGGCTGGTACATCGTCGCATACTCGCTCGGCATCTACTTGCTGAACCTCTTCCTCGCCTTCCTGTCGCCCAAGTTCGACCCCGCGCTCGAGCAAGATGAGGGCATGGAGGACGGCAATGCGAGCGGCTTGCCTACCAAGGAGGACCAGGAGTTCAGGCCGTTTGTCCGCAGGCTGCCCGAGTTCAAGTTTTGGTACTCGACCACCAAGGCAATTGCTATTGGCTTCTTCTGCAGCTGGTTCGAGATCTTCAACTTGCCCGTCTTCTGGCCAGTGTTGGTCGTTTACTGGTTGATTCTTTTTGGCTTGACGAGTAAGTTGATTTTGAGATGAGCGCATGGGTTCTAGGCTGACATTGGTGTAGTGCGACGACAGATTCAACACATGATCAAGTACCGCTACGTCCCCTTCACCGTCGGAAAGACACGGTACCAGAACGCCAACTAAGTCGGGTCGATCGATCGACCGACCATCTGCTTTCACTTCGTCGGATAACGGTCTGGAACTTTGGGAAGGTTGCCATCAACGGCTGTTTTTGGGCATGGGCGTCTTTTTCCGGTCCGCGATAGACTTCGAGCTTCATTACTCGCAACTCGGGGTTGCTTTAGGGAAGGGGGTGCTGCCACGATAACGCGTTGGATGTTCTATGATGTGTACACGTAGCAGGAAAGCCAAGAAGCTTATATCTTTAATACCAGAAAAATAGTACCATACGCAGGTGCACAGGTGAATGAACGTGCAATCAGAGGATTCTAGGTATCTGGCAACAACTACTGATGTGGAAAACAGCTTTGGGGCAAGGAAAAGAACGACAAGCAGCCACCATGCTAAAAGGCAACGCAACAAAAAGAAAGAGATGAAGGAGACCTCTACTCCATACGCAAAGCAGGAGCCTCAAGCTTCAACTCCGCCAAGCTCGTCTTCCTCAACCCCACCTTGACATCCTCACGCTCAATCCCCACCTCCTTTGTGCAAATCCACGTAGAAGCATACATATTAACCCTATAATCGTCAGTCAGCCAATCAACACATCATCAGGACATCCAAAGGGGTAACATACCGATCAATACAGCTTCCCGGCACCCTAACAGCCACCCTCTTAACCGCGAACCCACACTCGCCAAACACCTTGATATACCACGGCTCCAACCCCGCAGACCTGAGCATAACCCGTCCCTTGACCTTCAACGCGCGGTTCAACGCCCGGATTTGTTTGAGCGCTTGTTGGCCACTCGGCGGGAACCAGTCCATACTATCCATCACCACGACAATGGTCAGCGTACCAGGTCGCATTCTAGCAATGACTTCGGAGATCTCATCCGTGTGGATGCGAAGACCATTGAACGCGCTGGGTTTACTTAGTTTGATATGCGATTTGGGGGAGAGGTAGGTAGGGTGGGAGGTTGGTGTGTAGTGCCCCAGGAGGGTGAGGAGGTAGTAGTGGTTGGAGGTGGAGAGCAGCGTGGTGTTGATGACGGGCTCGAAGGTGTTGAGCACGTATTCGTAAATCGCGTTTCCAGAACTCGATTTGAGTGCGTCGTCGGAGGGCTCTTCGTGGAAGGCCATGTAATCTGCTGCTGCATCCGACTTGGCCACCGATGGTGTCTTTGTCTCGTCAAAGTCGTCGGTTTTCTTGAAGTCCGCTTCGATGACGGCGCGCTGCGCGGGGGGGACGCCGAGGGCTTTCCAGAGCCACTTTTCGTTGCCGAGGATAGCCCATGTGAGGATCTTGGAGTGGAGCACGGTTTTGATGGAGCGTTGCCAGATCTCTCGTTGTTCGTTGAGAGTGGAGGCTGTGCAGAGTTTTTGAACGTCAGAGGTCATGCCTAGGAGGTGGAAGAGCCAGCCTGCGATGGAGAGGGCGTTGCCGGAGCCACCGGAGTAGTAGAGGCCTTTTGAGGAGGAAGATGAGAATACAGAGGGCCCGTTGTGCAGCCAGAATTGGAAGGCTTCGGATGAGAGGTGCGGGCTGAGCTTTTGGATCAGGAGGTTGTGGAAGTCGGGGTGCTTGCCTTCGCCGAAGAGCTTCCATACGTCTTGGTAGGGGAGCGCGGTGAAGGCGGCGACTTTGAGCTCGAGGAGGTGGTTTTGAGATGGGTTGAGGTCGACGGCGTGGACGCGGCGGCAGTTCTCGAGACAGAAGGCGAGGATGTTGTCGCCGGCTGAGCCGATTGCTAGCACGACGTCGTTGGAGGTTGGCTTGAGGAGGCGCATGTCTGCTACGTCGTCTTCCCAGGTGAATGCGTAGATGTATGAGTCGTTGAAGCGAGTGTGCTTGGGCAGGGAAGAGTCGTAGTGGATGCGCCAGTGGTGGTTCTGGTACCATGTAGCAGGAAGTGGGAGGCTAGACTGTAGGTTCACCACCGCGGATTCGTAGGCCTTCGAGTGGACCTCGACGTCAGTCGGCGTAGCTCCTGTCTGGAGGTCGAGAGCTGCAAGGTAGGGCGATTCAGTAGCAGCGGCATCAATCTCGGCGAGTTTCTGGGTAGACGCGCCATGGTCTTTCGAGCATCCGAGCCAGATGAAGTAAGGAAGCTTGATACCGGTGCCGAAGAAGTTGTTGCGAGCGTTGATACTAAGGACCGTGCCAAAGCGGTACTCCAGGTAGTCCTACAAGTTGTGAGAAGCTATGCTTGTTTGATGGGGATTTGACATACTCGTCGAGCAGGCTCAAGGTTGACACGGTCAATCTCAAACCATGTCCGCCAGAACACACGTGAAATCCACATGCAGTGACGATCAATAGCACCACCCATGTAGTTCCTACCCATGAAGTCGACCTGGTTCTGTACGTAGAAGTCGACAACACCGATAACACCGTTGGGGCTCATCAAGCTATCGATCGAGTCGATGACGGGATAGAACTCGGGTATCATGCTGAGAGCATAGCTCATAGTGACGAGCTCAGCGCCCCCAGCATCCGCGTTCTCGTCGAGATCGCGAACAGTTTGACCTTTAGAGATCATCTCCTTACGTTCGTATGCTTGCGGTTCGTGTTCGTGGAGACGGAATGCGCGCGCATCCTGGCAGATGACCTTGACGTTTGTCCAGCCGAGACGGGCGAACCTTTTCCGGGCCATCTCGCAGAGGGAGGGGGAGAGGTCGACGACATCTTCTTGTGTCAGAAATGCTTTGTGGACTGATTCCTTCTGACTTACAGACTGCGCGAAAGAAGCTCGCGACAGGAACGAAGGTGTTCATCTGTTCAACACTGAGATTTCGTCAGCAAGGCAATATTGATAGTGGCTACTGGTTACTTACTTGTGACCAGTTCCTCCGCCAATCTGCGATCATTAGCACATCGACCATCATCCAAGCCTAGTGTCACCTACATCAACCCAGACTGGTCGTTGCGAGATTAGGCCCGCTTCGGTACGGTGCTTCAGCTGCGCAGCGACTAGTCCCAGCATATCCTCACGGCCCCGAAGAAGCTTGAGTCGGGTGGCATCGTAGACGTCGGCTTGAGCTTTGTAGAAGCTTTCCTGTTCGTTTGATTAGACAATTTCCTAGTGTTCCTTTCTTCGTACATACCAAAGCATCTTGCTGACTTCCAGACCCGTCTCCAGTATGAGGCTTCAGGAAACACCCATAGATGAATTTGAGGTATGCTTCGAACGTGCTAGGCGCCTGATCTTTGCTCTTCGGTCTGAACGCAAGAGCAAATGTCACCACAAGGAACACAGCAAGGACGCAAAGGGAGACCGTCAGTTGGTGAAACGGGTCACTCGGAACAAAAGTTGAAAGGCTCAGCATAGCTGCGACTTCACAACAGGACAGTAGAAGCAATGATCAAGAGAGGAGAGGGGGGAACGACAACAAAACAAAAGAAACCCCACAAACACCATGGAGGGGTTATATGAGCCCTCATTCCGAGTCCCCCAAGCATCATTCCGACTTCGGTTCGGTCATCATACATACCCGCATGCCCCAATAGACAAGGTCACCCCACTGCGCAGCCTGCGTAGGGCTTCGTGCTCATGTCTCGCGTCACCTAGCAGCCAATAACCCTTACCACATGTTCTGAAGATCCTCAAACAGCGCCCAGACAGCCTACCAGAGAATCCTACTTCCTTACTATCAGCATTGCGGAACTGCCCTGAGTAGACTACCGCACCACCGCTAGAGGCGGCTATGCAGGGTCCTAATAGAACCGAAAGTATCTCCAGATCTTGAATAGCAAGACTCTAGACGGGGGAACGAAGACGTCAGTCGACCTATCGGGTGGTGGTTTTGTTGCGCGTGGGTGAGACGTGCCTGGCATGTTGGTGTTGAGACGGGGATGGTTGAGGTTGCGCTTGGTGGGGTCGGCGGCCAATCAGAGGGGGCGAGCGAGGGCGTGCCAGAATGCAGGGACGTCGAACGCATGGAAGGAGCGCGATCATGGCTCGGCGTTGTTTCCTACATGCAAGTCACTTTGAGTTATCTGGCGCAAGTGATGATCCCGGACGATGTCGGCAGCTGCCAGCCTTGCAAGATTGTGTTGGCTGGTTGTGAGACTGTGGCGCGGACCCAGCAGCACCTGTTGTGTTCACGATGAAGAAGAGGAGAGTCCGCCTTTGAGTCAGACTGAGGCATGGTCTTGGTTCTGGTTGGTCATTTAAGTTGCACTTTGGTGTCTTTGCGGTGTTGACGTCTGATCAGCGAAGTGTCTCGTGTACTTCGCACGGCTCGTCTAGAAGACCTGGTCATTCTATTAGCACCTCTCTGCACTTTCTTGCTCCAAACATACCTAAGACCCCCCATCTCATCCCCCTTAGTGACTGTAAAAGACTCCGGCCGCGCTGCCATGAGCCACGCAAGCATTGATGCGGCCCAGTGCTGCTTCAAGTTCGCAACATAGTAGCGCTGCTCTTCAATGTGTCTGAAGATCATGACTATCTCGCTGTCGCGGATATTGATTTCCGTCTATGAGCATGTGTTCAGGGGCTCTTGCACTGCCAGTTAGTGGATATGCCGGCTGACCTGAACGTGCCACTGGTGCCAGATCAAGCCGAAGTCTTTGACCAGCACTACGGCACACCAACAGAGAGCGTATTCGTAGACTGGAGAGCGAGTGTCATCAATGGGCCAGATATGTTCGATAATGTAGCTGCTTACTCCATAGCTATGCTGTTTTGATTCTGTCCTTAAACTTGCGTGTCGCCAGGTTGGTGACGCCTTCTAAGAATTGTTTGTGCGAGTTACAAATCTGTCAGCCTGCAATACGTCCTTGGTATCTGCAAACCTAAGACAAGAATTAATAGCTATTTCGAAGTAGAAATATACTTATCAGCACCTGCCAGCCTTCCTCGTGTCATCGCGAGAGCCAGATGTACTTCAGGCATACTGTCGAGTAAATCCTCAAGGTCACAGAGTAGTTTACCAACTACATGAAGTTTCCAAATTTTCTTCAGAGCTTGTAGATTGCATTTTATGCTGTAACACTCTCTGTGGTTAGTTATCCTCTCTTGTAGCTCACATCGTATGCTCCAACACCCCCACCCAGGAAAGGCGCAGCCCAGTGAAATTGCCAGCGCAAAGGACGAGATGAAGTACCAGTGGGTGCATGGCGAAGCAGCGCAGCAAGTAGGGCTTCTCCCCTTGTTCGTTGCTAGTCAAACCCTCCAGGCGATATCTTGAAGCAAAGCCATCTGCCGCTGACCAATACCGGGGAAGAGACTCTTTCACCACATGCGGATATTGAGAATATCATCTTCGGGACAGCGGAGATATGGAAGCTGTTCATCATCACCCGCTCCGCCCAAGCAGGCAAGTTCAACATGATGTGCGCAGACCTTGAACTGGATACGCTCATTAAGACGCTTCACGAGCATCGACTCCATGGGTGAACAGCCTTCGACGTCGTCAAGTTCATGTGTCGGGCGAGCAACCAACCCGTCCCAACGATGGTAGCTGGCTACGCAGCTTTCACGATTGACGGCTCGCCAATGTTGAGAGGCCTTGTCCATGAAGTCTTGTCACAAATAAGAAATAAGAAACCTGGTGAATTCCAATCACAGAGGACGGTTCTCTTCTCGCATGGTATTGGGACCTTACCTTCAGCCTCATCGGCATCAAAATTCTCACGGTTCACAGCGCCCTCACCGCAGCCGAACGAAGCAAGCTCATTGAACGTTTCAATACACCAGGGGACGCTCTGCGAACCATGGTGCTGCCTTACCGGGTAGGAGCGCTGGGGACGTTTCGAGAACAGCAGCGCCGAGACCAAGAGGAAGCGCAACCAGACGCTCAAGCGGTGGCTGACAGCAACCGTGACGTTGACGCCGGAAATATCATCCAGCCTGATACAAAGCGGATCAGGAAACTGCTGGAAGGGTATGATGGTCTGCAGTGGTCTGCCGGTGGTGTAATCCTGGGGGCGATGACCGAAACTGAGTGATGCGCGCGTGAAGGTGAAGTGTACTCGTTCAAACGATATGGGAATGCCCTGTCGACAATGACAGTATCGTCAAAGCGTAGTGCGCGGGCGTCGTACTTGATCACGTGGTAACTGTCATCTAGGCCGGCATTGGAAACATCCGCCTTCGTTTCTCAGGTTTCTGAACACCTGCAGGTAGTGACGTCTTGCCTGAACCCGACTTAACCATTATCCGTATCAGTATTGGGGTGACGTACTGTAGAGAGCCCAGATATCTCCACAGACTGTGATGTCCATGCCATCTTTGAATCAACTCACACAATACATAACTGAAACCCAACCCTTGCTGTTCATAATCGTCATTTCCGCTATGGTACTATGCTGAAGGTCTAAGTATTATTACAAGCCCGGCATGAGAGTGCACGCATGCAAGCGACTACACCACCACACAACTACACCTTAGGCGTAGAAATTGACGGTGTCCTTCTTCTTTGCCTGTACCTCAGCGATAGCATCGACGTAATGCTCGTGGCTGATCTTCTGGTGACCAGTCCGGAGAGCAATCATACCAGCCTCAACACACACAGCCTTCAACTGCGCACCACCAAACTCGTCAGTGCTGCGAGCCAACTCTTGCCAGTTGACAGCGTCGTCAACAGTCATCTTCCGCGAGTGGATGCGCATGATCTGTGCGCGGGCCTCCTCGTTGGGTAGCGGAAACTCGATCTTCCTGTCCAGACGTCCAGAACGGAGCAGAGCGGGGTCCAAGACATCGACTCGATTCGTCGCAGCGAGAACCTTGACACGGTCATCGGAAGCGAAACCGTCCAGCTGGTTCAGCAGCTCCAACATGGTTCGCTGCACTTCCCTGTCTCCGGACTTCTCGGAATCGAAACGCTTTGTACCAACGGCATCCAATTCGTCGATGAAGATGATCGAGGGTGCCTTCTCTTTCGCCAGAGCGAAGCAGTCACGGACCAACTTTGCACCATCTCCAATGAACATTTGTACGAGCTGTGGGCCGGCGAGCTTGAGGAATGTGGCGTCGGTTTGGGCAGCGCAGGCTCGGGCGAGAAGGGTCTTTCCGGTTCCGGGGGGACCGTACATCAGTGCACCTATGATCGTTAGTACATGTTTAGAGATGAGCATATGAGTTGCTTACCCTTCGGCGCCTTGATGCCAATCTTCTTGAAACGCTCAGCCTCCTTCATGGGCCATACTACAGCCTCTACGAGCTCTTCAATCTGCTTGTCCAGACCTCCAACGTCGGTGTACTTCTCAGTTGGCTTCTCATCGACCTCCATAGCCTTCACACGACTGTCGTACTCTGCGGGCAGAGTGTCGAGAACGAGATATGAGTCCTTGTTCACACCAATGAGGTCACCGGGCTTGAGCTTCTCATGGTCTACTAGTCCGATGAGAGGCAAGAAGATGGTTTGTCGCGTTGAGGTCTTGATGACTGCCGACTTGCCGACACGGGTGGCGTCTAGGTCAATGTTTGCTCCCTCCTCAGCCGCCTCCTCGGTGACGTCCAGATCAAGAATCTCGACAACGTTTCCGACAAGGTATGGTAGTTGCCTATAAGATGTCAGTATGTTGTTCAGGAGGTCGCCTCATAGCAGCGGGCTGCGGGGTGACAGGTCGCATCAATGACATACCTGTTGTTCTCGATCTTCTCTAGGTTGTCCTTGATCTTCTCGTTCATAGAAGCCTTCTCGTGTGTGAGCCGTTGGAACTCGCTCTTCATGATGCGCATGTCGTTCTCCAGTAACCGTCTGCGCGCGACGATGTCTCGTGTGCTTGAGTTCAGGATCTCCTCGTCGAGCTGCTCTTCCTCGGGTTCCGCATCCTGCATCTCTGCATCGCCATCAGCCTTCTTCCCGTCCTTGCCTCCGTCTTTCTTGTCATCGTCCTTCTTCTCTTCCTTCTCGTGGCGCTCAAGGTCGTCGAGATCTTCGAGTGTGGACATGGTGGCGGTGTTGTGAGAGCGAAGTTACGCGGTGTAGGGGTGATAGAGATGAGTGGGTCGGTGCAAGAGTGATGGTGGTGAATGACGCCGACAAAGAGGTTGTTGTTATGCGGCGGTGATGTGGAGCTGTAGAGGCAGCTATGGATTACGAAGGTACGCACTACGCACGGTGAGTGAGACCCTAGCTCCGATTGTCTTGGCGCCTGTGAACGCCGATCCGTCGCGCGAAACAACGCGCGATAGATAGGAGGTGTCATTCTTTCTGTACGCAGCTTGATCAAGAGAATTCTCTTGGTACTACAGAGTATATTCCATGATTATGCAGTACTATACGAAAGGAGCTTTGCGAACGCTCGCCCTGCAGGTATGGACAGCATTCTACACATGTGATTACTAGAATGATACTGAATAGGTTCAGACTGCTAAGCAACGTTAGTGAGGATCAATGAGGTTGCTCCCTGCAGAGCCGGTAGTGATGTTATTGGTGGGGGGAGCATAAGGCAGCTACGGAAATTGAGCTTCTGCTCTTTACATTTCTATGGGGTCCATTACCGGCAGGGCCCGTATATATTTTTTTTAAGTTTCAGAATTTCCATCCGTTCCTCTCCAACGAGGCACCTTGGCCTAATGGTAAGGCGTTGCTTTCCGGTGGCAAAGATTGTGGGTTCGAGTCCCACAGGTGTCGTTTTTTGCCGTCTTCTTAGCAGCATCTTTTTGCATCTTTCCGTATCTTTTTGCCTTCCTTTCCCACCTTCTCAGAATTCGCTCCTCGGATGGTAAGGCATGCCAACGAGCCGCTCACTGGAATCAAAGCTAGCCCAATTCTAGTATAGTCTTGATCGTATGACTGAGCGAACCTCCCGTGTTCAAGTTGTGGTGCAAATATCCGAGGTCGCAGAGAGCGCCCTTACCATACTAAGCTCCTGACATACCAAACTGCTCACCACCAAGCCACGACATTCTTTTGTTGCACTACATGCTCTTGAATTTGGTATCCCGTGTGTAGCGATTCTGATAAATTCCTTTTCGTGCTTGACGAATCAGTGTCATGTTTACGGCAAGAGCACTCCGGTGCGCTCATGCCACACCTCTCGCCCGACGTGCCGCGCTTCACCCACCATATCCACAGGTTGGTTTAAACACACTATGTTTTTTCACGATATTAACCCAATTACTAGGCGTCAATTCGACTGAACTCGTCGTCCGCCATTGATACGGCCAATGAGCAAAAAACGCAAAATGATAAACAAACAGAGGCTCCGCACCAGGAGGAGGTTGAACGGCTGGTTCCGAATTCACCTAGTCTCAACGCCTCCCTTGGTGTAAAGAACATGAACAAAGCCAAGCAACTAAGCTCCGACATTCGAAGACTTGGCTATGAGCTTGATCGGATATATGGTCGACAACGCATTATCCGGAAAGCAAGCCCATACAGAGTGCGAATTGGGGCTAAACGCACTGCGTTCAACGCGCGCGCCGAGACTGAGACGCACCCTGAAGTCCGAGACGGGAAGATGTTCCTTCTCGATAGACTGATACCAAATATCTGGTTGCGGGACAATTGTCAATGCAAAGTTTGCACGCATGACGCCACCAAGCAACGCCTTCTGGATACATTTTCCATCCCCAAGGACATCTCGATTAAGTCGCACTCGGCTGAAACAAGAGGGTCTGAGACGATTCACAGACTTGAATGGAGTGATGGACATGAAAGCGAATACTTGAGGTCTTTTATCTCGCAAGCTATGGCCAACGAGAGCGAGAAGGCCGTACAGCGTCAAGCTCTTACCGATATCAAACTTTGGGACTCGTCCATCGCTTCGGACCCACCGAAGACTCTGTATCGTTACGCAATGAATCTTAAGAAGAACAACGACCTACTTTCAAGGTTGCGCAAATTCGGATTCTGCTACGTCGATAAGACGCCCTTCGAGGATCCAAAGGCCACGAAGAAGATGCTGGAAAGGATTGCCTTCATTAGAGAAACACACTACGGCGGCTTCTACGATTTCACGGCCGACCTAGCGAGCAAGGATACCGCATACACCAACATCGCACTAGAAGCACATACTGACACTACCTACTTCTCCGATCCAGCCGGCCTACAAGCTTTCCACCTCCTCTCACACACCGACGGTGAAGGCGGTGCAAGTCTCCTGGTTGATGGCTTCAAAGCTGCGGACGAGCTCTGGCAGACCGACCGCAAAGCATATGAGATCCTTTCAACGGTAAATGTCCACGGACACGCTTCAGGCAATGAAGGCATTTCAATACAACCCTACCGCGGCTTTCCCGTCCTCGAGCACGATATCGCTACGGGAGACTTGCTCCGCGTCCGGTGGAACTCGTCAGATAGAGCATCCATTGAACTCCCCATCGAGGAAGTCGAGACATGGTACGATGCAGCTCGCAAATTCGACGCGATACTCAAGAAGAAGGAAAATGAGTATTGGGAACAGCTTGTGCCGGGTAGAGTACTCATCTTCGACAACTGGAGGGTGTTGCACGGGCGGAGTAGCTTTACAGGGAAGCGCAGGATTTGTGGGGCGTACATCAATAGGGATGATTGGATCAGCAAGTTTAAGATGCAGCATTTCGGAAAAGAGAATGTGCTGAAGGGGTTGGCTGTAAACTAAGGATGGAGATGAGGGGGATGATGGGGATATAGAAAGTGTCGAGATATCGTAATACGGCGCGGGATGTCGCTGATCGTGTTTGTATAGAACATCGTCTCAAGGACCAAAAAAACGTGTGCTGAAACTTGATGTTGGTTCCTCAGAACTTATGTACACCCACACTATATCAAGGAAACCATTCTCTTCTCTTGAATCAAACGTTTACCGGCCACCCTTCTCCTGTTCCAGCTCCAACTCAGCCTGGCGGTAGTACTTGGCGGTATCCACACCGTGGTAAGGGTGGTTGACAAAGTTCGGCCATGCAAGAATGTGCGAAAATGTGGAGGAGTAACGCGAGTTCCTGTGTGCAACTCCCTGCATGTACTCGGTCATCTCGGTAGTTCCGTACAACGACTCGCCCTTCTTGACCTTGTCGACCATCTCGCGCATGTCCATCTCGACCTCGCGGCGGTTCTCGCGGGCACCGTAGAAGCGCACTATCGTAGAAGTTAGTATACAATCCAATCTTCTCTTTATGCGGGCTGGTTCCACATACTGCATGACCTCGAGTAGGCGAAAAGGAAGGCCCCGGTAACACCGACAGCACCGCTCAATCGCATGATGGGTGCGAAACCGCCCTTGCCGACCATGGAGGGCGAGATCTTCTCCCAGTAGAGCATCAATCCGGGGCTCAAGGCTCCGAGCGCGGCACCTTGCGCCCAGTCAGACGGACGGGCATAGCGAATGACTCGCTTAAAGTGTCTTCATCTGCAGTCAGTACTCGCATGCGTTCGGTATCGTAGAGGAGCGTACGGGTCATTGTCGATGAGCTGCCATGCATTAGCTACCACCGCCCATTGCGCATGGAATCGCGCTGCAATTGACTCACAGGATACTCTCCGGTGGGGATCTTGTCCGGCACAACGGCCTGATGCCTGACATAGGCGTCCTGTGCAGACATGGTGGTGTTGGGGTCTCTACTGCGGAGATGTCTGGGCGGGATCGCGAAGTGAGGTTCGAACGGGCGGCAAGTGCCGCATGCGGGCTTTGGCCTAGTGGCTCAGAGCTTCCGCGACGCCATTCTCTCTACTTTTATTTCCTTGGCGCGTCACACCCCATCACCCATCTCGGAACTTCGTGCGCCAACAATGCGCGCCAGCCCCTTCACGTGCGCCCAACAACGACTCAGATTGCGATCATGGCTATGAAAGTGGATGACATGGAGGACGTCAAGCCCACGGGCTTGTCAATGTCAAATGGCCTCGACGGCGCGTCCGCTGCGCATGCGACCGACTCGTCAAACGTACACGCCCGCCCGACTGTCGCCGACTTGCACGGAGAGAATCATTTCGCGCAGGTAGCGAGGAAGAACTGGCTTACCGCCAAGAAGACCCCGAAAGTGCGACCCGAAGTGGTTAAGAAAGAGCTATGGGACGAGCTGGAGAATGTCGACTTCGCATACTCGTCGCTTTTGATTCTGGAGAACCTACAGCTTCTGGAGAGATATCTGTGGCCTGGCTTTACCGAGGATGCATCGAACTACCACCATCTGCTGTTGGCGCTTATGGTAAATGTCAAGAGGAGGGAGAACCTGGCATCATGGGGTGAGTTGCTGCAATTCCTAGCATGCACCACATGTACTAACGTTATATAGACCACTTTGCTAGCAAGCCCGCCGAATTCTCCTCCTTCTTCCGCCGCATACTATCCATGACCGTAGACCCGTCGCAGCCGAGCAAAATCCGAACACAGCTCGTATCCTTCGTCATCGGCGCCTTCCAATCACTAGACAGCGGTCTTGTGCGAAAAGAATGCGCACCTCTGGTCGGTATATCGATATGGCAGAACCTCCACTCGGACGCCGTGCGCGAGCAGTACTTCGAGGAACACAGCCTGTTGCGCAAGGCATGGAGAGCTGCGTCCAAGCGATTCGATGCTGGCGACGAAGCGCTACAGGCTCGGTTACGTTTCGAGCGATCGTGGATCTACACACTCCTGCTGGACTTCATTGATAGATTATACAACAGCACCAGCAGAGAAGCAGTTAGGGACAATATGGCTTACTGCGAGCGCTTCATGGAGCTTCTGGTAGATCTGCAGAGCCAACTGCCAACAAGGAGATATGTCAACACGCTGCTACAAGACTTGAACATGCTCCCAGCTATTCGACTGTCGCCAATGTACACGGACGAGGACAACGGCCTTTTCCGGGATCTTTTCGACTTGCTAAGCCACTTCACCAACTTCCCCATCGAGGATCAGACAGGCCGTCAGTTGTCCAAGCTAGAGTACGACCAACAGCATTACGACACGCTGGCAAAGTTGCAACGGACGGGCTATGCTGCCTTCCAAGAGAAGCTTCAGTTGATGGCCTTGGCGAACTACAGTAGCATCGGAAACCGGGAAGAACTAGCTGGCCATTTGCGCACACTGAGCGACACCGAGCTCGTTGAGCTTTGCTCTCTCATGGGTCTACGAACAGAGTATCCCACCTCAACCTACCTGGTCCGCGACCGAGCCTTCTACATGGAGACCCTGATCGCGCTTGTAGAAAAGCGCCCTACCTTCAAGGACTCCGTTCGTGAGATGCCAGTACTGCCAACAGAGAAGGTCCTGTACGAGACCACATTCCTGCGGAACGAGTCATACGACGGATCAAGACCGCTCGCTATACCTAAACTCAACCTTCAGTACCTGACCATGGGCGACTTTTTGTGGAGATCCTTCATTTTGTACCGCGCCGAATCTTTCTACGGTATCCGGAAGGACCTGGAGGATGTAGTGAAGCGCGTAAAACCCAAGGGTAAAGGCGTCAACACTAAGTTCGGTGGCGTTTCCAAGATGTCACTACCTATCATGAAGCCTGCTATCGTCGACGTAGCACCTTCCAAGGTAGGCGAGCAGCACCCAGCATACGTTCGTGCCGAGATCATATTGGATGTCAGTCGCCTGCAACACCCAGTACGAAGGGATTGGGAACAGCTAAGACCGGATGATGTCGTCTTCCTCCTTGCTGTTGAGGGCAAAGACGACGTTCCCATGCGCAATGGTCACAGCGAAGATGTCACAACTGGAGAACAACTCGGCTTGCACCGGATGAGATGCGCCCAGGTGGTACAAGTTCTGGACGACAAAGGGCGGCCTCTGCGTGAACAAGCCCGTGACGATGGCTTCGGACCTCGGGTGCGCCAACGTCGACTCCTTGTCAACATCGACGCGAAACAGTACCAGACAGACATGGACCAAACTGCCGAAGGAAGGCCAGACGTTTACGAGCACATCAACATGATTGTCCGTCGGAGAGGACGGGAAAACAACTTCCTGCCCATCCTAGAATCCATCAAGCGCCTGACCCTCTCAGACATCCCAGCTCCATCTTGGCTTCAAGAGGTCTTCCTAGGATATGGTGATCCAGCATCGGCGACGTACAAGCGACTTCCAAATCGACTGAACAAGATAGATTTCCGGGACACCTTCTTAGACTGGCAGCACCTGATCGAGGCAATGCCCGGCAAGTCTTTCGAACCCCACGAGGAAGCACAGACATCCTTTGGGCCTCCATACGTTGTGGAGTACCCTGCTGCAGGTGAACCAAACATCGCACCTCCTCGAGCGTCCAAAAAGCGGCGACGTGACCAGAAGGTGGTTGCACAACCTTTGCATGAATCGCTTCATGTATCCTCGTACAAACCGCCGAACATGGGACCATACCCTGCAGATGCGCCAAGGCTGAATGCTGTCAGATTTACACCTGCCCAAATTGAAGCTATCACCTCGGGCACACAACCTGGTCTCACGGTGGTGCTCGGACCCCCGGGTACCGGCAAGACGGACGTTGCGACCCAAATTATATCCAATCTATACCATAACTTCCCGGACCAGCGGACTTTGCTCGTTGCGCACAGCAATCAGGCGCTTAACCAGCTCTTCCAAAAGATTACTGCGCTTGACATCGATGAGCGTCATCTTCTGCGTCTGGGTCATGGTGAAGAGGACCTTGAGACTGATGTCAGCTACAGCAAGCATGGACGTGTAGAGTCGTTCCTCGAGAGAGGGCAGTACTATCTGTCTGAAGTTGATCGGTTGGCGAAGAACTTCAATGCGCCCGGTGCTCATGGTAGCTCGTGCGAGACTGCAGACTATTTCAACCTTGTATATGTGAAGCCAGCATGGACGCAATACTGGGATAGTGTTACAACCGAGGACACAAGTGTTGACCAGATAATCACTGAGTTCCCATTCAGAGACTACTTCTCAAACGCACCGCAGCCTCTCTTCCCTCAAGCAGCAGATCGCGAGCAAATTCTTGAGATTGCGCAAGGGTGCTACCGCCATGTCGAGAAGATCTTCACTGAGCTTGAGGACATTCGTCCTTTTGAGATTCTGCGGAACCCGCGGGATAAGGCAAACTATCTGCTGATCAAGGAAGCCCGTATCATTGCTATGACATCGACACATGCCGCTATGCGAAGACAAGAGATTGCTTCGTTAGGCTTCCACTACGACAATGTCATCATGGAAGAAGCCGCCCAGATCACCGAGATTGAGAACTTCATTCCTCTCGCACTGCAAAACCCCAAGGATGGCGAACTTCCTCTTCAGCGCATTGTTCTCTGCGGTGACCATCTCCAAAACTCGCCCGTCATTCAAAACCTCGCTTTCCGCCAGTACGCAAACCTGGAGCAATCCCTCTTCCAGCGCCTCGTCCGTCTCGGCGTGCCGACCATCATGCTCGACCAGCAAGGTCGTGCTCGCCCTTCAATCGCCGAACTCTACAAGTGGCGCTACCCCTCATTATCGAACCTGCCCTCTGTCATGACCAAGCCCGAGTTCCAAGTCGCCAATCCAGGCTTCAAGCACGAATATCAGTTCATCGACGTCCAGGACTACAAGGGCAAGGGCGAAGACCAACCCACACCACACTGGATGATCAATCTGGGTGAAGCTGAGTATGCAGTCGCGCTGTTCATGTACATGCGTCTACTGGGTTACCCAGCGAACAAGATATCTATTTTGACCACCTATGCGGGACAGAAGAGTCTGATTAACGACGTCTTGGGGCACAAGTGCAAGAACAACCCGCTTTTCGGTCGCCCAAAGATCGTCGCGACGGTGGACAAGTACCAGGGTGAGCAGAATGACTGTAAGTATCACCCACTCTCATCTCAACCTTGA